AATTATGTAATATTAAAAATACGATTTAAAGTCATTCTTATTTCTAATGAATATCTTCCATAAATTATCATTTCTGTACTTATATTGATTTAATATTTACACCAAAAAGTAAAAGGTTTTAAATACCAATTTAAAGAAATAGAATACTGTTAGAAACATATATCTATTATAAAAATGAGGAAGTTATTATTAATTAAAAACCATTGATTCTTGTAAACCTACCCAACACATGCTGTAATATTCTAGTCTTAAATTACATGCTTAAATTTACATTGCCTAATTTACAATAAAATTCAATGTCTTTCTTAAGAGGAAGTTCCCATATCATTTTAGAATTAGCATAGGCACAATAAATGGCTAAAAGACAAATTCAGAATATGAGACAAATCTAAATATAATAATATCAAATGTGGTTAAAATTATGTTTGTTAACATTGGACTAGCCTACCTTTACATTTTTCCTCAATCCAAATATACAATACATTACTTCCTTCATATACTTATGTAATGTGCATCTTTTTAATAAAATGAGTTACTTATTTTATACATGGACTGGGTTATTCATGATATACATGGACAGTCAGTTCAAAGGAGATTATGTCCTACATGTAAAACAGTCAACCCTATAAAAAGTTCTATGTAGCAATTATAATTTCTGTTAGTCATACAGGCCATCTGTACAGTGGCAGGCCAGAATTCACATTCTGTACCATAATGTATTTGCCTCTAAAATATAGTATATTTATATTGAAACCCCTAAAATTAATTATGGATTGTTCCACTTTATTGTTGGACAAGTCCATTATAAGGATAACAGGTAACAGGGTTCAGTCATGCTGGCTGGTTTAAACCACCCATTACAACATTGTGTAATTCCATTTCCTTAAGTTTTTTAATAAATTGAATAAAACAATACCGGTAAAACTTTTTAAGACAATGACCGTAGCATTGGATCTTCAGACAAAATGAATTACTTTTGTAACAACTGATCCTTATTTATTTTCTCTTTAGCAATATATATATTTAAAAAACCATTTTGCATAACTAAAAGAATTTAACCTTGTAAATAAATGGACCAATGCAGATTTCCAGTAACAATAAACTTTCAATAACATGTTTACAAATTCAACTAGGAAGTAAAAATTATAATATAATAATATTCCATTGAAGACAAGGTTTGTTATATAATAACTATGAATTTTTATTGATCTTGCAGTTAACTTCTTTTTTACTTAAAACCATGGCAAGGTTGCAGTAACACTCATTCTACCAATGAATCCATGCTGTGTAGAACAATATCGGAAGGCACAACAATATAAAGTACTAATTTTAAAATTTTCCCTAACAATGATGAGTCAGTCCAGATTGTAAGATGACAATTCTATTTAAGATCATATAGGTATGGGTAAAATGAATTATGTTTAGAGAATATATTGCTAGTATATAAAAAAGATATAAAAAGACATACAACTTAATCTAATATTAAGAATATTATAAAAGTGTATAAGTACAGGGAAGTGTTGAGATAATCTTAGCTTTGTAAAGAAAAATCAGGGAAAAACAAATTTTATACACCTAATAATTAAAGACTAATAAAGAATATTGTTTATTGTTCCCATTGTATGCTTGGATTACTTTTTCACATTCCAGTTTTAAAGATAGTATTTCATCTATTGTACATCATGATATAGTTCCTGGTTAGATAATAAACAGTTTCAATATTGCAAATATTTTAACTTATAAGGTTACAGAGAAATACAAGCTGTGGACTTGATGCAATACTGGTTTACATAATACAAAATAAAGAAGAAAATACAACTAAATTGCAAAATGTTCTAAAGAATTAGATTCCAATTTCTTTGAAATTTTTACTTGGAAAATAAAAAAGTTTTAATGTCTCAAAAAAAAATCGTTTACATTTACAAGGATGAAAACATAAACTAAAACAGTTTACAAATTTAGTGATAAATTAACATACAGTAGTTGGATAAAAATTTTCACTGAACATACTAAATAAAGATAATTTACAGCATGCCTACTGTCACTAACATGGCATATATTTATAGCATGCATAATTTCAATGAGTTGTTTTTAAGAAACTGCTTATATTTATAAATGAAAGGTCTGTGCTACTGTATTTTTACAGAACAAATTTATATTTATAATTAAGATGCTGATAATAGGAATAAAACGTTATTATATTTGTGGACTTCAATTATTATACTACATTTATTTCCATGCTAATGAAGTAATGATTGACAAATGTAACCAATTAGAACTTTAATCCAACAACATAATTCTGTAGTTTCTTTCAAAATTAATTTAATTAAATAAATTAGCTGCAAAGGTCCTACCTAAAGCCTAGGTCACAAATAAGAAAATGCCGCCGGGCGGCGTCTGTTTCTCCAAAAAATCGCAATATCGGCCGGTGTCCGTCCGGCGGCAGTGACTATCGGATGGCAGCAGCTGAAAATTTTGCACATCGGGCGGGCGCCTTCGTGTTTTAAGTAATACTTAAAACCTTACGGCGGCCGGACGATAATTTTTGGGGTCACTGAGTATAAATATCATCGAGCGGACATCGTTCGGTCGCCGGGCGGCGACCGGGCGATGATTTTTTTGATCGGGCGATTTTTTGTTCTACTAAAACAGCGTCCGATTTAAAAGGCGTCCGGGCGGACATCGGCCGGGCCCCGCCCGGTGCCTGAATAGAGCCAAGTAGTCAAACGATTATCGCCCGGTAAGAAGTAAGAAGTTGTAATTGCCTCAAAAATATATTTGTGAATTTCTTTTGAATACTAGTAAACATGAATTTTTTCCTCAATGTCCATGCGAATGTTTGATTGATTTTCGCCTTCTACGGCCTCGATACTGGTCGTTGGTGACTCGTTGTCTACAACACGGACCAACTCCTTGGCCTTCCCCTTGGCTTTGGAAGCTGACTTCTTTGCTGGCATAATTACAACAAGCTGATTTATCTAGGATGTCATTAAATGTAAAGTCGTTGTCGCCCGGCGCCCGCGCGGCAACCGTCCGATTCACTTTTAAATCGCACAGGCGCCGTACGACATCGGGCGGCGACCGCCTGATCCGTTCAATTCTTTCTGTAAAATCTACTCGGCAAAAATCGCCCGACGACTATTTCATTCATGACCACGAAAGGTATCAGATTAAAAATCGCCCGGCGTCCACGACATCAAAAAATCTGCCGATTTTATAAAAATCGTTTAATCGGACGGCGCCCGTTTTATTTGTGACCTAGGCATAAATTGTGCAGCAGTATAGTGATGAAATAGACATGTTTAATCTATTTCATCTTTTAGATATTTATATCTTTTAAATGAAATAGACATGTTCAATCTATTTCATAAACTGTTATTACTGAGAATGTATAGAGTCCTTTTTTAGTATTCTGAAAACATGACCTCTATACCCTTAGGACTGGGAATTTTTGGCTTTGAAAATTAAGATATTGTAGGTGGCCAATTAGATCTGGGTATCTTTATCTGTAGATAAGAAGAACCAACACATTTTACAACAAAAAAAACCCACCACCTTTGGCAACATCTGTTCTGTCCAACAAATGGAAGAAAATTCCAAAAACCACCTTGAAATCAATAAATGATAGAACTCTGACATATCATATACACAAACAGGGGACACATTATTAAATTGTTTAAATGAATATTCAGTCTAAATATCAGAAAACTTCATTTATAATAGTTGATCCCTGACACAGCTTACCACAAGGTTAGAGTCTTTTAAAGGATACCATTATATATACATGCATCAATTTTGGTCATTTCCGTGTCAGATGTGCTTGTCATGAAGAAGACACACGGCAAGTCAAGTAGTTCTAAGTACAAGGAATGATTGGTTGACCCAGTAGTGTTGCTGTTATGGAACAAGAATGCCTTGAACAAACTGTATTCCAGCTTTACTAGCAATGAACGAAGAACAGGATTTGCTGATAGACCAGAGTGAAGAAGATGTCCGCAATGAGGCACAGAAGTTGACTAGCAAGGATGTTGTAAGTCTCAGCATGACACCAAGTATAAATAACCAAAAATAAGCAAGAGACTACTTCTACTTTGCCTCATTTAAGTTTCATCCAGCTGAAAATTTGTAAATTCGGAACTGGCTCACAATTATTTGGGTTTCCTTTAGCAGACTGAAAAGTTCCCAAGTGAGATAAGTTCCAGTAACCCTATGAACATTGGTAAAAGCTAGAGTTAGTTAATATCTGCCCTTGTCATATGAATGAAACATTGAAACTCTAAAGTCTTATAAACTAAATTATCTGAAGATCTATCAAATTTAGGCCAAGGTGACAGCTTTGTCTTTTTTCTTTCTAAAGAAAATAATGTTGCTTTACATATCACTAGCAATTCTTAGTTTATTTCAAAGTATATGAATAGATCTATGCAGTTCTAAATCAACATTTTAAGTTAATTAAGTAAAATTGACATGCAAAATGAGTCAAAATTAAGGTCCATATTAATTTAGAGAAGATATTGCAACACATCTTGGAGTTCCAGTACAATTATTTGCCTGCATCTAGTCATAATATACACATCAATTGTAATTAAAATACTCTTTTCCAGTTCAGATCTAGTGCACACAGTTTGCACAAGGTTGATAAGTCAAGTGTGAACTGAACTGAACTATACTGGAATTTCTTAATGTTTATTAAGTAAATAATTTGTATCCTGAAAATACTGAGTAAAGTGTGAACTGAACTAAATGTATACTGTACTAGAATTTCTTAAAACTGTTATTAAAGTTTAATTAAGTTATTTGTATCCTGAAAATACTGTTTATAAGATTTCTTATAAATTTGCAATCGCTTTATTTTAAACATAATTTTGCTTTGCTGAATATCGTAGCATTGAATGAATATCCTGTATTAGTAAAATAGTCACCAAAAACTACTTTAAGTGAAACCACACCTGTATTGTCGCGAAATTATGTGTTACTCTAATAAAAACAAACAAGCCTACCTGCAATAATCCCTTTCAAAGTTTTTTGAAGAGTCTTGTCATGTTTCTGAACCGGTGCTACACTGCTTAATACAGTTTTGTTTATCTGATTCTGAGGCTTATCAGCTCTATCCATTCTGAATAAAATTACAACATTCAAATTTTATAAACAGGAATTGTTTTGCTCCAACATGAAACGTCAAAATGACAGCTGACGAAACGACGCGAGATAACCTCGCCTGACCTCGCGTGAACGAATGGGCCAATCAAGATATAGTTTATAATAAGTGGCACTATCCGGTAAATTATCCAATGAAAAGGCTTTTAACAACTAAGCGGTAACCACGTTGCTAAGGAAGCCTCCATTGTTTTGGTACATCTTGCTGTGCATTGTCAACAACATTTTTCACATTTAAAGAGGAAAGGAAAACAGGTGAATATTTTTCTTTGGAAAATTACATCTAACAATTATTCTTTTAACATTCAGTCATTACGATGGTAAAATCTAATTTGTTCTTTCCAACATATAGAAACGGTTTGTTTTTTCTGTAGACATCTGTGCCTGTGGTGTTCTCAAAATGAATGAGCATGATATTTTTTTTATAACCATCGACTTAAAACTATAATATCGAGTCTCATAATGTTCTTTGAGTACTGTTGAGAAGTGATTAAGTGATTTATTAAATGTTTGTGCGAATTTTTCTTATTTATTCGTAGTTTGCAGTTTTCATGCACTTCACCTCTCAGTTGTTAACTGGTGCTTGACTTTCTGTGTTAATTTTAAGAATATCAAAAGACAAAGGTCATGTTAAACTTACCTGAATTTTCGATATTTTCTTGATGTTCATTTTATTTTTTATATAATACCTATTGTTAACCAAATTCTTAGCAAATATACACATAATAATAATAATAATAATAATATCTTTATTTAAAGAAGGTTAGCCTGGAACCCCGTTGTATTGATCTAGTTATTTATAAATAACAACTGCAATTAAATAAATTTAACCTACCTGAATCTTTATTTTTTATCATTTATTTTGATCCTTTTCTGATAATATTTGCATCATGGCAAACATTACTGATACATAGTCTTTAGCTTGGAATATACTGATATTTAATGCCATGTCAAACAGATTGAAGAATTAGGTCACGCCATTATATCGATGCATTGTGAGAATTACTCAGCAAGTCAAAGTATGGAAAGCCTAAACCGTATGCAACATTTTTAGTCAATTAGAAACAAAGATGTCTGTCTTAAAAATTTCAACATAAATTTTTGAACTTTTAACAGTTTGTAACAGTCTGTAACAAGAACACATTATTTACAAGTCTATTTCTGCTTTCTATTTAATTATCTTTTGGCAGGCAGTGAGGGCATCTGAACTCACTTTTACGTCTTAACACTCGCACTGTGCTGCAAAATTTTAAATGAGTCCAGTGGGAACAGTGGTCACATTTTCCCCATGAAACAATAGTGACAAACGGGTGTTTATGTAAGTCTGCTGGCTCCCACTTATTACATACACAGCACCTTTCATCATCTGTTGTTTCATCTTCAGTTTCATCAGCATCTTCTGCCCCCAAATTGATTGGACCACCACTTTTTACAAGACCAGATGTGCTTGGTTTTGGCTCACTAGTACTAAGCTGGTTCTTGTGCTTGGTAGTACTGGTATTCTGCTTGACTGACGCATTTGTCAAAATTTCAATGTTCTTGTCAAGTAACAGATTACCAGAAACCTTAAATGGGGGTACAAACTTTCTTTGTTTTGGCTTTACAGCCTTTTTAATTGTTCTTACTGAGAAGAAAGTGGTGGCAGGAGACTTATTTTGTGATTCAACAGAGGTAGTGACAATATTGGTGGAAGTTGTTTCATCCTCAGACTCCTTGACATTATCCTCAGACTCTTTATAATAAATAATTGATGGAGCTACTTGTGAGTCAGCAATATTTGTTTTATTAAAGGGAAATATGCCAGTACGTCTGAAAGCAGAGATGAGGTTTTCTGGTGTAAGAGCTTTAAGATATGGTTTAGATGTGAGCTGGGCAATGTCATACTTGGTTATATTTATTCCAGGATTAAGTTTCAAATATTTCTGACATTCGTGGTTGTACATTTTTTTAAAGGGTCCAAATATGCCAACATCTAGAGGTTGTGTTAGATGGCTGGAATGAGGAGGCAACACAAATAAAATAATATTATGTTCTTTGGCCCATTCAGCTAAAGTAAATGAAATGTGTGATCTGTGGCCATCATATAACAGGAGGGTAGGTGTGTCAGAATCAGTTGTTGCTGCATAGGAAATGAAATGTTTTGTCAGGTAATTCAAAAATACATCAGAGTTTGACCAACCAGTTTTCGACATCTCTCCTGCTGACCCTGGACATGACCCTTTCAGAAAATCTTCATTCCACCTCTGACCCGGAAATACATAATAAGGTGGTATACTTTGACCTAATGCATTTCCAGCAGCTATCAATGTGATTGTTGACGATCTAGCAGATGTAATATTTTGGGCTGTAGTATCTTTCTTACAAATTACTTTGGGAGGTGAATGTTCTGTATTTACACCGGTTTCATCTATATTAAAAATCTTGTTTGGTTTATCTTTAATATTGTTTGATATTAAGACTGTTTCAAGCTCTTCATAATATTTGTTAAGTGTTTCTCTTGAAGCTGATTTTGCCCTAGCAATGGATAATTTTTGTGCCTTTACAGTCTTAAGATCTGGCCATCTTTTGGTGAACCCATAAAACCAATTATCACTCAGTGACTTGTCAGCCCTTACAACTTTGCCCAAAGAATCTGCATAGTCCTTTGCCAAGTACTGAAGTGACATCTTGTTGTAGCCATATCCAATTTCAGCCATGTAGGTTATATGGTTGTACAACTTCTGCTCCTCTTCCTGAGTGAAAATGGTCTCATGGCCAACTCTAGCAGTAGCTTTAACCCTGCCACTTATCCTGTCCCGCAATGTAGTTGGAGGTACAGAATACATCTTTGCAGCCCTATATGCAGAAATACCCTTCTGAGTGGCTTCAAATGCTTTCTGGAGATTAGATCTGTCATACAACAGACGTCTCTTCTTGACTTCAGGTTCCTAAAAATAGAAACAAGCATGAATGTTAATCTGTATCAACTCATGCTGTCTAATAAAGCTTTTTAAAGCAAAGCACAAGATGGAAAAGACGACAGGAACGGCTTTCCATAGTTTTATTTTTTGACAGGTGCACTCACGTGAATTATCAATGGTTGACATTTGCAGACGAACTTTGAAACAATTGCTGATATGAGTATTTTTTAACTTTTTATGCATGAAATATTTAAAATATATATGAAATTTAGGTTAAAATGTTACAGAAAATGACTTACCACTACTCGAAACATGTTTTTGATGATTTCTACGGCAGAAAACGAAAGCGAAAGTATGACGTGACACTGTTGTAAATGTAAACAGTCAGTAGGTGGCGCACTTTGAAAAATATCGCGAGATTTGTAAATAGATTGATACAATGAATAGCACGATACAATGGGGTTCCACTATACACATTAAGAAGCTACAATAGCAATCATATATATCTTATTTCCAATGTGGCCTTCTGAAATAGAAAACAACATCAACAACAGCAGGACATGCATAGTTAGAAAAATGAATATATAATATGTAATTTTTAGAATAAGACAACTCATATACTTTCGACAGACACTCAATTATGTCATAACCAGAAACTCGAAATAAGAGATAATCAATTTTAATAGAGCAGGAAGACACGTTATTAATTCACAAAGGCATAAAATGAATAATACACAAAATGATTATCCTAAATAATTCATACTAGTTATGACAATTCTATTATAACAGATAGTCACATGATGAATAACATTACTTCATCGAATTAAGTAACAGTGACCATTAACAGCTAAATAACTAATATGAATACTACAAATCCGCCAGAAATAAAGACATATAAAAGACAATACAACCTAAATAATACAAGACTATACAAATATACCTGAAGGCAAGCATTATACACACAAATGATTAACCCCTGCATATACGTGTAACAGTATACATTGAAAGCTAAAACAAAGGTCAACAAATGCACATGTACATTAAGCGGAAGAAATTCACTAACAAAAGAACATGGCAAAAGAAACAAACAAAATACAAGCATACAATACACACAAATTAGAAAAAAGGGTGGGAGGGAGTGGCAAATTTTTCAAAATTTTGACAAAACTGTAACCAAAATAGCGCCAAAAACGACTATTTAAAAGAAAAGGCGTAGTAATACAAATACTATGGAAACTGTCAAGCGTGAAATTAACCTTTAACCTAACAAGGACCAATGAGAAAGCCTGTTATATATCCATAATTAAAAGATTTTATTTAGCAACAAAATGCTTCAAATAATTTGTTTAACCCTTTCCCCCATGAGCATCTTGTTAAAAATGGCCGTTTTCACTGAAAAGCCTCCTGTTACAAGTTCAAACTGCTATGAAACTATGAAAAATGCTTCAATACTAATCAAACTTGGCACAAATGTTGACTGGACCATTGCCTTTGTAACTACATGCTCAGTCTTTAATTTCCTGTTACCTTGGCAACGAGGGGACATCTCAAAATTACCAAAAATCACTATTTTGCATCGATTTTTCCCATCAAAATTTATTTCAGTGCTGCAACTGTTCAAGGGATTGAGATAGAGTCAAAGGCTTTTCAGCGTTGGTTAAACGTTACATTATGATCGACCTGGGGTCATTTTTACCCTCTCACAAGTCCAAAATTTTCTTGGCGATGAGGGGGACTCCGCCCCCCTTCAAACCCCCCCCCTAACAGAAGGGGGCACATCCCCCTTCTGGCAACCCCCTGATGTATCTCTTGGATGGGGGCGGCGCCGAAAAAGTGCTCAATTTTTTAAGCAACATTTCTCAAACGAAAACTTATGTTTGGGGTCCAAGTAGGACATTTTTTCACTAGTTGAGGCCTTAAAAAGGGGGGGTCGAAAGTGCGTTGTTTCGCGTATATATGTGGTAAAAGGTTAACAAAAAATGATGAAAAACTTTGGAATCACGTAAAAACTAGTTTTTCCATGTTAACATGTCGTATTTCACCTAATTTTGGTGAAAAATTGATGTTTTGTAACATTTATGATTTTTTAGTTAACCCTTTCCCCCATGAGCATATTGTGAAAAATGGCCGTTTTCACTGAAAAGCCTCCTGTTACAAGTTCAAACTGCTATGAAACTATGAAAAATGCTTCAATACTAATCAAACTTGGCACAAATGTTGACTGGACCATTGCCTTTGTAACTACATGCTCAGTCTTTAATTTCCTGTTACCATGGCAACGAGGGGACATCTCAAAATTGCCAAAAATCACTATTTTGCCTCGATTTTTCCCATCAAAATTTATTTCAAAGTGCTGCAACTGTTCAAGGGATTGAGATAGAGTCAAAGGCTTTTCAGCGTTGGTTAAACGTTACATTATGATCGACCTGGGGTCATTTTTACCCTCTCACAAGTCCAAAATTTTCTTGGCGATGAGGGGGACTCCGCCCCCCTTCAAACCCCCCCTAACAGAAGGGGGCACATCCCCCTTCTGGCAACCCCCTGATGTATCTCTTGGATGGGGGGCGGCGCCGAAAAAGTGCTCAATTTTTTAAGCAACATTTCTCAAACGAAAACTTATGTTTGGGGTCCAAATAGGACATTTTTTCACTAGTTGAGGCCTTAAAAAGGGGGGGGGGTCGAAAGTGCGTTGTTTCGCGTATATATGTGGTAAAGGGTTAAACATATACATATATTGCATCATTCGTTCGTTCAGTTGTTCGTTCATTCATTCATTCATTCATATGAACATCAAGATATGTTTTGTATTTTTCTTTAAAACATTAAATTTTAGACATGACTGTATTTTGAAAAGTGTAGGACAGGTTAAGCAAGAGAACAAGACCCTATTTTATAGAAATTCCTTGTGACTGTACATTTATCTTAATATTGTTTCAGAAATTATTTATAATATCATTCTGTGCTGGAGCATGAATTATCAGAATACAGCATTTATGTTGGAATTTGTTTATTACTCTTTAGTAGCCATTCAACTTAATGTTGTTGTTTTTTTCCTAGAAAAATATATCTGTCCAAAATGGCAAAACTTGTACAGCCACCAACAAGATTTACACACCAAGACTGGACAACTTCAAACCTCACAAAGTATGCAAATGCTGAAGTTGAGCGTGCAGCAGCTGAACGTCTTGTTGATGAGTCCAAGAGATTGTCTGATGAAACTGAGAAAAGAACTGAAAAGACCCAGAGGGATGTTAACAAAAAATTCCGTAAGTTGATATCTAAATCTGTACATAAATTTGTGTATACAGTTACTACAAACTTAAGATTTAGCTTTATCTAACAAAAAGTTAAACTAACAACATCATTACATATTAAATCACTGATTATTATTGTGAAAGGTGGACATGTTAAGTGGAGGTCATGTTTTTACATGCATAGTGGAATTAATGATAAGTGTGGCAGTATTGTCCCAAATTTATTTGAACACATCTTTTGGAATTAACCTATTGACAGGAGTTCTCGCCAAACATATTTGAAAATTTGTTATTAATATTTCAGAACAAAGACTAGATGATATTCGTTATTGGAAAAATGAACTTGATGACAAACTAGCCGGTGTAACAACTGAGATAGACAATCTATTAGCATTTAAAACAAGAGTTGAGAAAGCTCTAGAGGCCACCCATGAACCTTTACACATTGCTAGACAGTGCTTGATGAACAGGTTAGTATTAATCAAAACCTTGGCACCAAACACTTCTTCAAAACAGAAATTTATAAAGTAGAGAATTCTGTGCTTGGCATATTTCCATACAGTAAATTTGATTAAAGAAGCGCAAATTAAAACTATTTAACCTCGAAAGGATCATGCAATATAACTATATGTCTTTCCAAATTTCAGCTTCAATAAATTTGACAAAATTCACCTTTCATATTTGTATTTACCATTGGCATGGAACAAATATACTTAATTAATATCAATTGGAAGGGAATAATATCTGCTCTAAACCAATAATTTTGCTTATAATCCCTTATTCTCTGTATCTCCCAATGAAGGTTTGGTTTATGTTTTATCAGCCCTTTTCAAATGTAGGAATCATAAGTCAAAGCTGTTTACATATGATATGACTCTTTTAAGACTAAGACAGATAAACAATAGATTAAAATTGATAAGTTTTTACATAAGTTTAATTCCAGAAAATACACTGTGTACAGGGATACACAAATTTGACATTCATCACTATACCAAAGGATTATTTCTTTAAAAAAACACACAAAATATACAGCTTTGACAAAAACAAGTTTCCTTTCATTCAGTTACTCTGTGATATGTTAACAATGTGATTTTCCTCTTATTAAATATATGCTTGGAAATGGTATGAAATACCAATCATAAATGATAAAAAACACTTATCTGTAATCTTGATAAAACATTTACCTGTATGCTTGATAAAACATTCATTGTTAAAACCGAACCTGTAGATTATTTAATTACACCTGCACTGGTCTTGATGTGTTGTATTTCTTCATTTTTATCTTATTTTGAAAACATTTATCTGTGACCTTGATAAGCTTTTTATAAAACAATTGCCTGTAAGCTTGATAAAAGATTTTTCCCATGAGCTTGATAAATCATTTACCTGTGAGCTTGATAAATTATTTACCTATGAGCTTGATAAAACATTTAACTGTAACTTGATAAAACATTTGCCTGTGAGCTTGATAAATTATTTATATATAATCTTGATAAAACATTTACCTGTGAACTTCATCACATCATAAAATTTATATATAACAGGGAGAAGAGGAAGGGCATTGACTTGGTACATGATGATGTACAGAAAGAATTAATCAAAGAGGTTGAAGCTATTGAAGGAGTACAGGCACTTCTACAGAGGTCATTAGAACAGGCTACAGAACAAGTCAGGTAATTGTGTGTAATATATATGTATAATTGTGACCAGTGAAATAATCATGTGTTATGTGTATTCAAAACGGACACAAGAATGAAATGACAGGCATGTTAGATTCATTGTAAAGATTTAAAAATGTTTGATATTAGGATACTTTTCATTTCAGTATATCTAGTAGAACAAGAAGTACATGTAATTACAAAACAATTTTTTGGAAACACAATCTCATTTACCATTTAATATACAGGTTGAACAGGAAGGCCAAGTTTCAGTTGGAGAAGGATTTGAAGGACAAGTTCAGTGTACTATCTATTGATGAGTATTGTGAAAGTCTCAAAAATAACTCTCAAAATATTGGATTCAAGGACGGAACAGCCAAAATTGAAGCAAAGTAAGTAAATACATATTATCAATAGTCTTAGAGAATAATGAAACACAATAGCAATATGGGCTGGCTATCACACTTTGGTTAAGTTTTTGCCTGCAAGTTGGTATCTCCAAAACTACTGAAGGGAATCGGTTGAAACGTAACACATATGAGGGGCTAACTGTGCAAGGCCTATAACTCTAATGTGGATTTTGACAGATTTATGAACATTCTGCAGTATCCAGGCTTTTGTTTACCTTTGAGAACTGAGAATAGTCGGCAGGTTTTGTTGAATTTCATACCATTCTTTGAAATACTAAATAGAGAAATTTATTTAAATGCCAATATTTTATTTAAGCTACTTTTCTCAAAATGCTTGTAATTTAGTTTTGTAATTTTATCAATATTTAGAAAAAAAATATACCTCTTTGTAAAAGTATGTTGCTTGATTTTTTTGTTTTAACAGAATACTGATCTAGATTGGTGGTTACCTCCCATAACTAGGAGGTTAATATACACAGAGACATGTCTGCTTTTCCTCCACAAATAAGGCATTTTATTCACACTTTGATCTTAACAAGGTCAATCTCAGGTTCAACTTGACCAAAGTAAGAAAAAGAAGATTTAATTGTTCTAACATTTATATTTTTTCAGCTCTGTGACACCCGAAGACTGGCAGGATTTCTCCCATAAAAACATTGAGAAAGCCGAGCGTGAACGCCAGAGTTCTGTCGACCTGAGGTCCATGATCGACGGCATTCTTCAACAGACTTCCAATGACATGCGTAAAGAATGCAGTGAGGTTAATGTTGCCTTCAACAAGAGAATCAATGAGTGTAAAGATACCAAAAGCAAGCTTGAAGACCATCTCAACAAGGTGTGTATATTATCTCAGAAAATGAACCATTTCATCAAATTTGTGTAACCATTTGATTAAACAGTTATGCTTTGTATCAAATATGATACTTGCTATATATTATGTTCAATGTATCCATAACACATGACTAGATATACTTAAATGTAAATGTTGCATAGTTAAGGCACACTGTGTTGGGTACATTGTATTGACAGATTTCCAGCAAAAATCAAACTAAACTTTTGCATAAAAATTTTTATACATTGTAAAAAATTTCTTGAATAATTGAACTCTGTGAATAAGCCACAAGCTCACAAGTGACGGCGCTTTTACTGAATTTTCTCCCAGTGATCGAATCTTTTTACATGTTGCCTTTTAAAGGGCAGTGTTCAAAATTAGCGTATCCGTGGCCCCTGACTCCCAAATTCTCCTGGGCTCCCACTTTTCACATAAAACCCCGACCAGGCTACGTATTTCAGAGGAAATATAAACAACTTTTTTAACAATGAATTGTTATAAAATGTTTTTGGGGGCTAGTGAATATTCAATCTGGTAGTCCGACCAGCCTAGTCGATTCAAATTCTAATTTCTTACACTGTTATAGTTTATTCACTTTATAGCATGTCATAGATGATAACAATGCAGACTGAAGTATGAAATTATCTTTAAACCAATCTAAATAACTTACTTTTACTATTGTTCCCATGCAGGTTGTTGCCCAGATCAAGGAAATGGAGGAGAACATTTCACGTCTTCAGAAGGCCATTCAGGACAAGGAACAACCGATGAAGCTTGCACAGACCAGACTCGATACTCGCACCCAGCGACCTAACGTTGAGCTCTGCCGTGACCCTGTACAATACAGACTGATTGAGGAGGTTCATGAGATAGAGGGATCAGTAGCCGGACTCCAGGCACGTCTAGCCGAGGCCGAGTCATCATTGAAGGGTTTGATCCGTAACCAGCTTTCATTGGAGGAGGACATTGAAATTAAATCAAACACCTTGTTTATTGATGAAGTTGAATGCATGGGCATGAGGAAAAGCATAAATATCCAGAATTTCTAGGGAACTATTGGCTCTTAACTATAGTGAATTTATAAATAATGTTTTGATACTAGGATATACATTACTTGTTGGAATAAAAAATGAAAATCTAACAGTTGATTTCTGTTTCATACGGAATTAAATGAATGATAAAAGTAAGATAGGTGAATTTAATAGTTACCTGTGATTACGTTTTTACATTGATATTTTCACGTCATCTCTTTTTTTTTTGGATTTACTCAAGTTACAATCATTTGAGTGGGTTTTTTTGTATACTACCTTATTTTCTCTAAGCAATTTTCTTAAATTTCACTTATAAAAACCAGCCTTCATTAAATATTTGTTGTAAATGTGAAGTGAATGAAATGTGATTTTATACTGCCTATTTTTAACCAGTTCTTTGTGATTTTTTTTTTCTTTTTTCTATTAATTTTATGCTATTAATTCAAAAGAAGGATATTTTCATGCATGTATAGAGTATGTCCATGGCTCATATAATTCTATGTATAAAAAAAATTAAGGGAGAAAATGTTTTTTGTTGCATTTTATCATTACACATGTTACAAGTTTTACAATAGATCTTTGTTATGTTGATCATGCTGGTATATATTTATGTTTGTTCCTTTGTTTTTGTAACTATATTTGTAACTGACTTTTCTGGATGTTTGTCCAAAAACCATATCAGTTATGTGTATGTATGTTTATAGAATGAATTTAAGTATTGTAGATATATAGCTTCATCCATACACCAAATTCCTTTTTTTATAAGTGGGCTGCCCATAACTGAGCTTTTATTTGCTGAAGTCAATATGCTGTGATAAGTTAATGCCCAGAAATACATTTTTTCTCTACAGTATTTATAATTTGAGAAGATTTACCTCCCTTTCAATATTTTTAGTTTGTTAAAATGTGACTTATCTTAAATTTGTGAGTTATAAATCAGTTATATGAAATAAATTCTATTAAACATTCAATTGTTTCTTGTTTACCCCCATGCAGCAAAGATAATTATGGGAAATAATCCGAACTATACAAAAGTATTTCAATATAGAGCACATTTTCTATGAGGGACTTTATATTAGGGTAGAAATGCGCTCTATTTAAGGAATAATATATCCCAAACTGTGATTTTATTGCTCAATAACATCACTGTTTGGAGTTCGGATGCGGGGAATTATATCACGAGGGCGTAGCCCGAGTGATATAATGATGCGCATCCGAACGACAAACAGTGATGTTATCAAGCAATAAAATCACCGATTTGGATATATTATTTCGATTCTAACACCACATTAACAAATAAATGCTGCCGTACATGATAATAAGATAAACTGCGCCTGATTTGTTTTCGTACTTATTTTCAGCGCGTCACATTTTTAGTGGTTACGTCACGTGTATAACGATTATGTCACATATCTAAATATAGAACGTCAAACAGTGATTTTATAGCATAATAATACACACTTTCGGTTCTTCTATGTTCAATAGGGAAAAATGCGGGTCGTGTTAGAATACTTCACAAAGGTCACTAAAATAAAGACTTCCTAATTTCCATGCTTTGACAATGTACTAGGGTCATCCGGAAAGTTTGTATAATTTTGCGATATTTCAGGAATAAGTTCTGTAAAGAAAACAAAACTAAATATTGTACCCAGATATGCAGGTTTCTATAGCAACATGATTATTGGTACCAGGAGAAGTCTAAAAATATGTAAAATATCTGCCAATTTAAAGCACTGATACGTGCTAAATATCTAAGCTCTTGCATTTTCATAAAAGAAGACTCAAATGTTTTTCCAAATAAGCCTATATAAAGTAAGTGGAAGACTCAAATGTTTTTCCAAATAAGCCTATATAAAGTAAGTGGAAGACTCAAATGTTTTTCCAAATAAGCCTATATAAAGTAAGTGGAAGACTCAAATGTTTTTCCAAATAAGCCTATATAAAGTAAGTGGAAGACTCAAATGTTTTTCCAAATAAGCCTATATAAAGTAAGTGAATCCAGGGGCAGAACAAATATACAAGGTGAAACTACATACCAAATATCTAAGCTCAAGACTTGGTGGTTATGACTCAGAAATGCTTTAATTTTTGTTTCTCAAAAACTTTTTTATTTTTTGTATCTAATTATAGTTTCTAAAATGTTACTCATTGGCCAATTATCTGAACCATCTTTTGCTCCTGTTGCTTTTTGGCAATTAGTACACTTTTAATGATTTAGTGTTGTGTAAGGAAGTCAAAATACTACGTTGTTTCCATTTTGCTACTTTTATTACGTCATAACAATAATTTCACATTACACACTACTTTCTTGAGGTAATTAGCATCTAACATGCTATAAAAACATTATTTAACTGCTATAAAGCACATGTTTGTTCTTTTCTAAAGTAGGAAAAATTTATTCACTTCTGAGACATAATGTGCCTTTTCATTTTTGGTCTATTTTAAGATCATTCATCTGATTGGAACCATTAATATCACTTTTGTTGAGGGCCACCTAGGGATCATTCCTGTGAAGTTTGGTCAAAATCAACTTAGAGGTTTGGTGATAAATATATCAAAATATATTTAAGCAGAAATTCTGTCTCTTCCAAATTACAAGTAACAATTTGATATACATTAATACATTCCTTTTAATATTTTCAACTAAACAGGCACAACAAAAATTTAAACTTGCAGTAATAATTATGTTATAATTCACATTCAAAACCATCAAAATCTATGTACAATTATGATATATAAAACAATGTACAGTTATGATATATAAAACAAAATAAGTAACAATCCCTGATACCAGCTCAGATTTATTTATTCCATGTAAATTAAAGTGCTGTTAAAAAGATTCATTTAACAGATATCAACATTCAATATGATGTTGTAGAACAGTGCATGGTTCACATTCAATGCCCACTAATACATGTATATAATTATGAAACATCTGAAAGATAAACTATGAAATATGGTACTACAAGGCAAGAATAATTTAATATCTTTTTTATTCTAACATGAACATAGAAAGAGATAACATGTTGAACTACTTTATGTGGTGATGTAATTTTCACATTTTTATGATGTCATTTGGTTGGTATATTAGAATGTCCCAATGATGTTATATTGGGTGTCAACACTCCTTTTCCTTATTCAGTGCAGTATTGAGTTGTAATGTGCTAAAGTGATTTAAATAGTGATTTTAACTATTAAATAAGGCAAAAGTAGTCTTATGCATGTTAGAATTGTTAAGTAACAAATGACTATATTGTTTATCAAATATTAATGTGACTTATATTAACACACACATGGAAGACACTGAGAAAGAACATTGACAAAATGTATGCTTCATCTAAGACTCAAACTTGCAATCTACTGATGTCTATAGACCAGATATTCTCCTAACTATATCCTGATTGTACAGGATCATTATTGGGGCTGAAACTAGACCGTATCCCATATTCAAAAAGCATGTTTTTTCTTCTACCTTTGGCAAACTTTCCAAAACAAAACAAAAAATATTTTTAAAAAAAATATTCAAACTAAAATATTCTAGGTTTTTTTTTTGCAGTTCTTGAAATTGAAGGACAACTGAAACTTAAGGACAAAATCATGTTCTTTTGTTCTTTTTTCATACTTATTTTCATCAAAAGTCAAGGCAATTGTCAAAAGTATTGCTGTAATTTGTTAATTTATGCAATTTTTATCCTCTAAAAGCAACCAGTCACCATTCCCTAAAAGCTGACAATCACTGTAGAATGTACCTCAACCATCACAAATTTTATTTTCCTGTATATATATGGCAATGACAAAAAATATTGTCTACAAGAAACTGTGCATAATAAAACAATGCATAATTATCATATTAAATAAAGTCAAATGAGAATGATGTCCTAGAGTTAATGTTTTAAGAACACTTAGATAACCTGATTTTGTTAAATATAAATCAATATAGACTGTACTATATTATATAAATAATGTACAAGTTAATCTCACTAGTATCATTCTCAAATACAGGTATGAGTGTTCATAAAAAAATATTTCCTTACCAATAACTTGCTGAATATTGTACAATGGATTTTCTCAGCTATAAGGTTGGAATAGTTCATCCAAAAGTTTAAGGGATTTCAATATCAAAATATAATAATCAGCTACCAGCAGTATAGAGCCTGGACAGACTGCACAGAGGTGCAGACAGGCTAACTCTATACTGGTAGTAAATCATTTTAAGTTGCAGCAGGTTAGGGGTTAATAAACAACCATTTCTAATTAACCATTTATGAATGAAAATCAATATATCTCTTCCCATTATCTGTGATTTCAGATTGACATAGACTGTAGGCAATAGACAATGAAAGTGTTCATAAATATTTCTTAATTAATTCAAATTTTCATGCAACAAATTTTTCTCAGTGTACATGAATAAGTCTTTCTCTCTTTAACACACTTACAGTGACTACAGGTAATAATTTACAAATACATTTTACCATGCATGTCAATGTTCATGAATAAACCTTTCTCTTTAGTTCATAACCAACCTTCTTGTATGGCAGCTACAAACATTGACAATTTAAATTAGCCAATAATTATCATATTAATTATCATAGTGTAAAGAAAAATCCCTTGTAATTCCCAATGTTCATGGAAAAATATAATGAGGCAAATGAAAAAGTTTTTCATTAAACATGGACTAACCATTGTATATAAGATGTGTTAATAAACATATTTTACTGTGTCGCTCATGAATGAAACAATTCGCAAACCAATATTTCACTTTAATTTGTGTTTATGGACTATAGCGTTCACAAACCAGTACACTTCACTTTGTTCATAGACTATCTATAGCATTAACAGATTATTCCTCCTGTAATATAGTGTTCATGAAATGTTCACACTGATTTTGAGTAATCATGTCCTATAGGTAAAATATATCCCTTATGTATGATACTGTTCATGAACCAATATTTCACAATGATTTTGAGTTATCATGGACTACAGGTAAGATATATTCCTCATGTATGGTAGTGTTCAAGAACCAAATTTTCACACTGATTTTGAGAAATTATTGCCTATAGATAAAATAAATCCCTCGTGTATGGAAGTGTTCATGAACTAAATTTCACACTAATTTTGAGTAATCATGGTCTATAGGTAAAATATATTCCTCATGTATGAAAGTGTACATGAACTAATTTTCACACCGATTGAAAAATTATTGCCTATAGGTAAAATTTAATCCTCATATAAGACAGAGTTCATGAACTAATTTTTCACACTGATTTTGAGTAATCACAGACTACAGGTAAAATATAGCCCTCATGTATGATGGTGTTCATGAACTAATTTTTCAGTCAGTTCAATATCTTCAGGATACTCTGTGGCCTTCTCTGTGTTGGGTATATAATGAGTTTTCTCATATGATGTGAAATATTTGCCAACTTCAGGGTGAGTGATAGGACAGCATTCAGGATGCATCTCTAAACTTTCTGGAAAACAAAACAAAGAAAATATATTAATGTAGAAAAAATATGTAAAGGATAATCTACACATGAAAATGTCTTGTCATTATAAAAAATCAAGTTTATTATCAGATTTTGAGATATGTGAACATTTATTAAATCATACAAGTTTTTAAAAACAATAATAGTCCATCAAGAAACTGACTATTAAATCAAATCAAATACTAACATTGCATGGTTTATTATTATGTGGTTTTTGTATTTTATTACTATCATTAATAATATGATAGACAAAGAAGATAACTAAATAATCATTACTTCATATGACAAATGATTACAAATCCCATAAAGCAGTAAAGTAAACAGAAATTTATGTTCTTTTCAATATGCCTAAAACATAGTCATTTCTCTGTAATTTTCACAGTTAGATAGACCGACAGACATATTTTCACAAGATATGTAGGTAATAAAAGATTTTACCAGATTAAGCAAACTGTAAATATAATTCTACTTGCTCTGCTTTGAATTTAGAAAAGTTCATTGCTAGTTTTATCGTATTTTAATAAAGGATAGTTCTAAAAATTGTATATGTGTGTATTCTAGGCACTGAAAGTATGGACCACGTCTAAGAATGGGAGCTGGATTAGTTTTTTTAAGAAATTCAGCAGGTTATAAAATTAAGGAATTTCAATATCAAAACACTATAATTGAGAAGACAATTGACTGGTCTGACTGCACAGGTTTCTTGCAAGCCAAACTCTACACGGCTTACATATACTTCTTATAATTGCAATATCACTTAGACATTTGAGCCGCGTCATGACAAAACCAACATAATGGGTTTGCGACCAGCATGGATCCAGACCAGCCTGCGCATCCGCGCAGTCTGATCAGGATCCATGCTGTTCGCTATCAGTTTCTCTACTTGTTATAGGGTTTGTAAGCGAACAGCATGGATCCTGATCAGACTGCGTGGATGCGCAGGCTGGTCTGGATCCATGCTGGTCGCAAACCCACTATGTTGGCGCGGCTCATTTTATTTTTAAAGGAATAAATATCCTCAAAATTTATCCTACCTTCTGCTGCATATCTGTTAGTACCATCAGATACAAGGACATTATAGAAAGGTTGTTTATCTTTGTGAGGTAAACGGTCAACACCCATCTGTATAATCCATTCATGTGTAGCCTCACATTTAGCGTCCCAGCCATATATAACACAATCATAGTCATATCTGAATAAAATATACAACACAGAAATGTGATTATTCTTACTTTCCTTCTGATACAAAACTGACATCACTGTAAATTGTCAATGCACTATAATCTTCATACAAACATTATTGTGTAAATGTACTCAAGAATCAGATATACTATTTATAGTTTAGAAGAAATATGCAGATACTTCAGATTATGTTAAATAATATGAAAATTGTAACAGATTTTGTATGATAAGTTTAACAAATGTTATATAAGAATGATATGTAACAGATGTAATATGAGAATGCAAAATATAATATATGACAACCTGTGCAATATAAGAATGGTAACTGATGTTAAATGAGAATGATAACTGATGTTATATGAGAATGGTAAGAGATATTATCCAAGAGTGGTATGAGATGTTAAATCGAAATGATAACTGATGTTATATGAGAATGGTAAGAGATATTATCCGAGAGTGGTATGAGATGTTAAATCGAAATGATAACAGATGTTATATGAGAATGGTAAGAGATATTATCCGAGAGTGGTATGAGATGTTAAATCGAAATGATAACAGATGTTATATGAGAATGGTAAGAGATATTATCCGAGAGTAGTATGAGATGTTAAATCGAAATGATAACAGATGATATATGAGAATGGTAAGAGATATTATCCGAGAGTGGTAGATGTTAAATCGAAATGATAACAGATGTTATATGAGAATGGTATGAGATGATATATTGAAATGATAATGGATGTTATATTGAAATGATAACAGATGTTATATGAGAATGATAACAGATGTTATATGAGAATGATAAGTCACGTTACCTTCTATGTTTCATTATAAGGCCAACAGAGTACAAGGCATCTTTTGGTTTCTTTCTAGTCTTTACATTGATCTAAAACAAACAGAAACATATTCATGAAAATATGGTTTAATTTAAATCAAAGGCATATAAAAGAAGGTATGTAATTATTAATTAAAATTCTTGACCTATCCATCATAAAATCTATTTTTGTGTTTGTCTTCCGGGATAAAATAATTATAATTTGATACATCTTAAAATAAACAGTTTTACAAGCCATGTTTTCACTAAAGTACATGTTTACTATTTACAATTAAGTATTTTTCACAGGAATAAACCATTTTTTTTACAGTCCTGACAATTCTTGATATAAATGTCCTTTTTTATGTATGTCAATGTATGTCACTTTACAATGTAAATGCAGGTGAAATCTTTTTTCTGGTTTTCAATTATTATTGTTTTAAACATTTGAGTAATTAAACAGGAATAACAAATCAGAATAAGAATCTCAAATTTATTTCACTGTAGCAATAATCATGCACTATTCATGTGAAAACCATGATTTATTTACCTGATGAATTTTAGTAATTCAATGATATGTGCTTACATGAAACAGTAAAATGAATAGCAAAGTAAGTAAAACTAGCCATAGAAAATGACACACAACCAACACTGTATTATTGAATTATTTTTTCATACATATTAATTTTTTCATACATTTAACATGTGCAATTTCAATTCATTTGCAACTGTCATTAAGTCTTTTTAGAGAGGAATCAGGATTTGATATCAGAAATACATGTACATGTTAAAATGTATGATAAATACAAAGTTTGAAACATGACTTCAACTACCTTCCCTCACGTTCTTGTCACAAAATTGTCACAACAGTCACAAAAATTAACCTCCCCTGATGTCTGTCACAAAAATAAGTGAAAATTAGTGCATTTCAACAAAAACATGCTGACTTTAAAACAAAAATTAGTCTTTGTTTATAAATGAAATGAATACATAACAATGAATTAATGTTGCACTGTATGCACTGTATGCACAGTACCTTTCTTTTGTCCTTGTTCACTTTATTATCCTCCATCTGTGTTTGTGCAGCATCCATGAGGTAAGCTACCAGACCCATCCTGTTCTGATCTTCATCAGCTATTACCTGCAGATTTTGTAGCACCTACAAAAAAAACAACCAACATTATACATCAATCTGACTATAGTATCAAACAACAGACAGATTCTAGCATGACTTATCATTTTTATATTAAAAAGTGATGTCTTATCTAAACTCATAAATCAAGACATAGGGACCCGAGTTTGATTCCCGGACGGTGTAGGTCACTTTCTTGTGATTGATCATGAAATCTTTTCTACAGTCATTCACACTGTACCTCTGCTCTGAAATGTGCAGAAGTTTCAGTTCCTTGCGAAAGTGAAGGCAACAAGTACTGGCAAACTGCTTGACAGCCTGACTAGGAACGATGTGGTGACTGAACTGTGCTCTGATAAAATCATTTGGCTTAGTGTTGTGATCCGGAGTGAAAACTACCAACACCACCAGCAAACATGTCTATTATAGATATAAGGTATGAAAGGGATATTTGATGTCAGGCACCTGTAAATCAAGTAAAACTAGAACTGCCACTATCATGGCGTGAATACCCCCGCATACCACTTTGTCAGAATCAACAGTGGCCATTTAGCGCTCAAGGACAACCTCCCTGCTAAATCTGAGGTTACTAAGCCAGTACATTGCTAAGTTATGTATACTACATGCTTCAAATGTGAAAATGTCAAAATCAATACATTGCGGACAGGACATTCTTTAACAATTGAGAAGAAAAGCTTTTTTTGTCAAGGTCCCTGTGACCTTGACCTTTGACCCAGTGACCTCAAAATCAATAGGGGTCACCTTATAGTCATGATCAACATCCATGCCAAATATGAAGTCTGTGGGTCAAATGAATCTTAAGTTAATGGGTGGACAAGCTTTTTGAAGTCAAGGCCCCTGTGACCTTGACCTTTGACCTGGTGACCTCAAAATCAATAGGGGTCATCTACTAATCTTGACTAACCTCCATGCCAAATTTGAAGACTGTAGGTCAAAGGAATCTTAAGTTATTGGGCGGACAAGCTTTTTGAAGTCAAGGCCCCTGTGACCTTGACCTTTGACCTAGTGACCTCAAAATCAATAGGGGTCATCTACTAATCATGACTAACCTCCATGCCAAATATGAAGACTAAGGGTCAAAGGAATCATAAGTTATTGGGCGGACAAGAAAAAACCGACGGACAGCCGGACGGACGGCCGGACAAGCTGATTCCAGTATACCCCCCTTACAACTTTGTTGTGCGGGGGTATAATTAAGTGGAATGAAAAACACTTTACTGTATTTACCTAATTATAGAACAAGAATTTATGAACATTACTCTTTAAATGCTAGTTACTATAAGGCTATGCCTATTCAACCAGTACAAGACCTGAATGGCTGGCATATTTATGAAGCCTTGTCAGACATTATACTGTATATTGCTTTGACTTCAGCTTTTCAATATTGAAAACCCTTAAAACAGCAAGTTTCAAACATTTAGCAATTTAGCTGACACATAAACATACCAATTCAGACAAAAATACATCTGTTAATAATAAAACTATACATAAATCTTTAAAGCAAATATTTCAGCTCATTGTTTATGTTTTGTATCGTTTAATGATACCGTCCAGTTTGCATATATGCAAATACAGGAGCAAAAACATTATATAATTACAACATTCTAAGCCACAATTATGCGAGATAAGGTTGTAGAAATTGATAAACAGCTAGAAACAGTTTATTCTATTAGCAGGGATAAAAATGCACACAAATAAAATACAATCGTATCCTTACATCAGGCAGGTTAATGTTCAAATGTAAATTCACCCTGACTAACAGCAGACGCATTTCAAAATCATCTGGTGAGATCAAGAGAGAGAACTCTAATGCATTACGTAAACAAAGCAAGTTGTCTCCCATTCTGCCCTGCTCTCGTCCAATGGCAATAAGATTCCTGATCATTCTCTCCAAAACCTGAAACACAGTTGTTTCAAAATTAATAATTTCAACAAAAATAAATAGAAATGTATCAAAAGGACACTTATAGTCTTATGTCCCAACTTCATTTACATGTAAGAGTGACAAATTTGCATACTTACATATTTGATATAGGTCAGAAGTCTTACTTAACCTTAGCTATTCTTTCTCAAGTTATTGATCTGGCATGACTTTACACAAATTTTTACTGTGTCCTTGACCTTTGACCTCAAAATCAATAGGGAAAACCAATATGACTATAATGAGTTAGTTGCTGGCCATTGAAAATGTCCCTACTAAGTTTCTCAAACAAAGGCTTATTCCTTCTCAAGTTACTGATTGGAAAAGGTTTTTTGCAAAGAGTTTCTGTGACCTTTACTTATGATCTGTTAACCTCAAAATCTAAAACGTTCATCAACTGGCCATGGGCAATGTCCCTAACAAGTATCATGAACCATTGCTTTTAACTTTTCAAGTTTCTAACAGGACATATTTTTGGATGGAATTCCTCAAATTTTAGTACATAAGAAAAAAAGTAGCCACATACAGTTAGTTTCAGCTAACTGAAAGAATAGCATCAAAGGAAATAAACTGTTACCTATTATCCCCATAACCAACTAAATATCTGTATGTTTGGATGAACAAACACCTTTCATGCTACTTAAATGGAATGTGGGGTTATTCTTTTGTTAAATTCCTTTGTTTACTTTAGGCAGCTTTATAAAGTCTATTGTCTTCTTTTGTTTAGTTTACAATTAAATGGCCATCTATTTAGTTTAAACAGCCTGGATTTGACCATAATAAAAAATATATTGTAAGAATAGAACAAATTTACAACTTAATTACTAATCAGGCTTTCAGATGACACTTTATATCGAGGTCCCGTGTATGAGTGCTTAAACACTTGACACGTTAAAGAACCAGGAGAAGCTTCTGGAATTGGGGCATCTTTTCATATCTTACACTATCCTTCAAACATATAAAATTTCTAATACTTTTCTGGAGGACTTGCCCCTATGGGCAACCAGTGGCGAGTATAAATAAACTCAAATACACACACTCAATAATTACCTGTACTGGACTGGTTTAATAATATACCTGTACAGGACTGGTTATCTTCATGTTGTTTAGGTTTATCAAAGTCTCCGGAACATTGAGTGCAGTGTGTAACTGTCCATAGCTGAGAAATTTTCCACCATTGAATACATCTATGTATGTATACATGTGTTCTAAACTTTGCCTAAAAGTACAATGCAAAGGTAAATATCACAGTCATGTTCAGCGTGTTCATCAAATTAAGTAACCAAGGTAACATGGTGAAAATGCCCTGCTGGATAAACACATTCGGAACATTAATTTTGTATATATTAATACATCCAATTGATATATAAACATAAAGCTCTGTCAATATATGATGAGACGTAACAAATTAGATACAGTAAACAGCTTGTGATCTTTATAGTCAAACTCAGTGCTTTACTGAAGTAACAAGTGCTAGCTTTCCTAAAGTATATCTTGAAAATAATAAATACTTACGATGGATCTTGTTTCCACCTAAGCAGGAAGTGAGATGGTGCATTGACTGGTTCACATATAACACCTAGTCTTCTAGCTATTGCTGAATAAACTATTGATAATGTAATTGGTATACCAGTCTCAGAAGATAAAACCTGAAATAAATAACGATATAAGAATATAAACTTTATTACTTTAACATGTATCACAAAATTCCAAGGGTTTTTTCTTGAATTTTGACAGCCTAAACTTACTACTTGTAACATGTATTAAGAAGAAAGATATCTGATACTGTCCTGTAGTATTATGGTGTTAATGCTAAACACATATGAAAATTCAATCAAGTTATAATCATATATCATATATATCAATATTCTGCATGAGATAAAACAGTGGTAAAAGAACAGGATTTGATGTCCATACAGCTAATCCCCCAGTATACAATGCAGCTTCTTAAAATGTCTGCCAAAGCTTCTGAATACATCAATACATAAGACATGTTTAATAAATTCCCTACATAAAATAACAATGAATTGATTGACATTAATATCTCTATAAAAACTAAATATATACCATACTTATTATTACCTTATTTATATATGAATTGTTGATATCATAGTATCTTGTCTTGTTGCCCTCAAACTTATGCTTGTTAAACATCACTCTATTTATAGAATCAAGGACCATCTTACAATGCTCACTGTTCCACAAATCAGATGTCACACCTATAATAAAAAACATCATTATCTAGCAAATGTCTGTAAAAAAAATGTCACACCTTATCTAGCTATTTTCTGAACATAGATGTTACGCCTTATTTAGTAAGTCTGAACATAGATGTCACACACCGTATCTAGCTTAAGTCTGTACAAAGATGTCACACCTTATCTAGCTAAAGTCTGTACATAGATGTCACACCTTATCTAGCTAAAGTCTAAATATAGATGTCACACCTTATCTAGCTAAAGTCTGTACATAGATGTCACACCTTATCTAGCTAAAGTCTGTACATAGATGTCACACCTTATCTTGCTAAAGTCTGTACATAGATGTCACACCTTATCTAGCTAAAGTCTGAACATAGATGTCACACCTTATCTAGCTTAAGTCTGAACATAGATGTCACACCTTATCTAGCTAAAGTCTGAACAAAGATGTCACACCTTATCTTGCTTAAGTCTGAACATAGATGTCACACCTTATCTAGCTAAAGTCTGAACAAAGATGTCACACCTTATCTTGCTAAAGTCTGTACATAGATGTCACACCTTATATAGCTAAAGTCAGTACATAGATGCCACACCTTATCTAGCATCAGTTTGAACACAGATGTCACTCCAGTCTAAACATAGGTGTCACACCTTATTAACCTTTAGTCTGAACATTGAATTTTCTAAGATAATACACAAAGTATTTATATTAACTTTTAAGTTAATGTTATTATATATGCCATAACACTAAACTAATTAACAAATCTTGAAGTCAGTAACAAAGTGGCAATGTCAATCTTGTATAAAATTCCATTTGTATGTTATATTAGAATAGTACTTTGTGCTTTAACTTGTACAGTTCTTTGCACTAGAGGTTGACAACTTCGAGCAGAAATAAATCACTGAACTTGAAACCCTAGTAAAATACACAAATGTATATACATTTACATGTATAAGAAATATATATCTTTGTAAGACTACCACTGTTGGAACTAAAATAAAAATACAATAAGTTTCATACTTTCTATGTTGATGTCAGCTTTAACAGCTGGATGATGTGGCCATGTTGTTTTTAAATTGTGCGATACTTCTGATGCCAGGCTATCTAACTGATCACTTATATCATTTTGTGTGAAATTCTCAAATGGTTGACACCACTGTGCAAGTAGACAAGCCCCTAAAAACATAAACACAAATATTCTGTAATAATAATGTATCATGTAACTGTGAGTAGCAGAGATCCAGCAGGCTTAAGTAAGAAATATAGATGTAGGCTAAGAGTCTTACTAAAGTCTAGTACACACAATTGCTTCATCATACTGAATCCTTGATTGCTATGACCTTGACCTCTATCTTGCTAACATAGATGAAGATACAGGCACTCCTCTTCTTTTATTAACTTTGGAGCACCATCGACCAGTGAAATTGATTTATCTAATCAAATATATTTTGCTGTAGAGGCACATCATGCCTCGAAAACAAATAAGATTTGCATCCTTTAGAAGGAGCAAACATGAGTTTATAATGTGTAAATAATGGTTTTAGAGCATGCAGGCTGCTTATCGCATGAAGATAGTAGCACGCAATATGAAATTATTTGTCATAAAAGTACAAAAATATAAACAAAGCAGTACTTCCACTTCCATTCAAAATACTTAATCACCATTACTATACTAATTTCTTTAATTTTTTGGGGAATTCTGAATGCTTTGAAAAAAGATTCAATTGGAAAGCAATTTCCAATATCTCTGTTATATAATGTAGGCCCTGCTAACAAATATTGTTGTCAAGTCAGAAAAAGAAGAGTTTAAACTCAAGACCCCTGAGTTTAAACATAGAGACCAGTCAGTACACTTACCATGTTAAATTTGATGCTTAAGTATAATATTTTAAAATACTTCTGGTTAAAGTGCATAACATTATACATTATTACATTGTCAATGTCAAATACACTTTTTTTTCAAATTTCTGATATATCTTCAGAAAAAAAAATAACATTGAAAATTTCCAACCTTAAGTCTGTAAAACTATTTTTTGTATGTGCTTCAAGGTTTTTAGAATACATGCACCACAATTATCTTTAACTTTAATTGATATGAAAGGCATTAGATGCATCAAATAGTATGTAACTGTATAACAAACAGGCTGACAGACAGGCAAACAAGTTGGGACATATAATAAACATCCCTTTGGGCATACAAAAAGGTTTCAGATACATGTATAATACATAAACGAACAAACATTACCAGTTTCAAGAAGCTGACACTCTGGAGGTACCTCTGTAAATGCCTGAACTTTCTTTGACAAGAGGGTTTGTTGCATAAAACGAAGAACTTTTTCTGCATAGTATTTGAGAGTCAAATTTTTATCACTGAAAGAAGACAATTGATGTATCTTACATCAGTTACTAATACTTCTTTAACTCGTTTCAAAGCATGTTGCAATAATAAGTTGCTAAAACCACTAGTTTATCCCTTAACCTGCACAATCTGGACTCCCCTAGCTTGGAATTTGGAACAGTTAATTATCATTTTAGGGGATTTTTAAATCAAAATACTAAAATTGAGCTATCAATAATTTCAGTCACATCAATGAAGTCTGACCTGACTCTTTGCTACTTAGTTCAAGCTTTTTGACATTGAACCCCTTTAAAACAATAATGAACTGTTTCAAAGTCAAAGCAGGTCATTTCTATTATACAAATTTAGCATTGTTAGGGTTTTAAATTACATGTATTAGTATTTGAAGAAAATTAGTAAAAGCTAATGCATTATGCATACAAAATACTATACTCAACATCACTAATTCCGCGTCATCACTTATTTCACGGAAATGGCATATTTTTATGTGACCAGTGTTAAAATTGGTCAGAATTGTCATATTTTATTCAAACATGTAAACAACAAAGTTTTTGTACAAAATAGTTTAAATCTACTGATTTTTACGTAAAACAGAACAACATTTTACAAACTTCTGCAAAAAGCATCAATAATCCGTTAAATTTGTACATATGTCTGAAACAATCATCATTTTCTAAATGTTTTTGTTCGTTGAAAAAATAAATTTTGAGGTAAAAAGTAAAGATACTTTAGATATTTAAAATTATGCAAAATAACATGCAGAAATTTTAACTGAAACATGAAAAAACTGCAATAAAAAACCATTACTGCAATTTAAATGATGACATACTGTTTTCAAAATGACTAGCATATGGTATACTTCTGGCTCATTTGAACTGATTTTGACTAAATATATTGTTGTTTTCTTGTGTCATACAGCAGAAAATACCTATATGTTACAGCTTATGACAATTTTTGTACCAGAAGTTTCATTTGTTGTTTTCTTTCTTGCTTCAAAGCGTTAAGTACCGTGAACTAAGAGGAGCACAGTATAATATTAAAGGACCCTGATGTTTCCAGGCTGCTATTAGAACATCACAACTTTAATGCAGTTGAAAATAATGCAAAATTGAATAGAATAGCTTTTTTTCCCTTAGCCATTTGATAATACCCCCTGAAATGATGAATGGTTTTGTCCAGTCGTATTAGGTAAAGATTATTTTTTGAAATTAATATATCTCACCTATCTCCATCATTAACTATACTCATGAGTTCATCAATTAGAAACTCTCCAGCTTGCTCATGTTCATGTGTCATGGTGGTGAATTCATGAAAATCTTCCTTGGACACCTCATCATGAAGGTAATGTTGGCTTGAAAGACCTCCAACTGCTGATTTAACCCGGACACCAAAACTATGCCTGCTTTTAAACTCCTTGTACCAATCATAGACTTTGAGTCTCTGATATCTGGCAAGCATCCGTGGCCATCTGTATGTAAATTGAAAATAAATTGGAAATTAACAATGTGAACCTGAAAAAAGTTTTATTATAATTCCTTCCCCTTTACGATTTTAACATGTTTTTCATGCAAAAACTCAACAAAAAAATATGTTGGGTTGATCAGTCTAGCTGCTATACCTTTGTACAGTTTGTAGCATAAACAACTGGTTTTTTACACCAACATTTACTGCACATTTCATTTCATGACATTCAGTGCATTATTCTGCTTAACAATTGCAAATTTGTGATATAATTTCCAATAGGAAGTGGCTTGCCGTACGGGCCCATACGGCTAGCCAAAAGTTCTAGCCGTACGCGAGTCACGTACGACTAGCCAGGACACACTGTATTGGCTAGCCGTACGGCACTTTTAAGAAATATATGGAAGGCGAAAGTGCATATGTTAATTATGACTTTAAGCGAGGATTTTAGTCAAGATTGTTTACTTTTTAGAGATTAATCGACGTGTTGGCTACAGTAAAGTATGTACTTTGTCATCTCAAGACGTCGAGAAAAAATAGCGTTTGGTTGCAGTTAAATAACATCAATTGAAATAGTTTACAAAATTTTGATAATAATCCTTTTTTGTTTCATTAAGTTTAATTTTTAAATTAAAAAAACAAACAAAAAAAACACCGAAAATAATTGTTGTTAGACTCTGATAATAGAAGTTTGTCCATCGTCCATCATTACGGAAAGTTTGCATTATTTTATTATTTCTCCTTTTCACCGTTTTTTTTTTAAATATTTGTTTTATTTATTTATTTATTCCCCTCCAATCATTATTTATTCCATCCATGTGCTTAATTAACAGATTTAACAATTCATCTTTCATACAAATCATAAGCATGAAAATTAAGGACGTTATAACATGCAACTTTGACACTTAATTTTATTATGATAGATAATACAACGCTTACTCGTATTCATTTTTTTTTTTTTTTTTTGCAAAATTGCGGAGCATCTTTATTAAAGTGATAAAGTGAACACACTAGGACAAATGCGGCGATTTGATTAAAATCGTCGTTTAAAGACACAAAATAACATATGCATTTTCGTCTTCCATATAATTTTGAAAAGTGCCGTACGGCTAGCCAATACAGTGTGTCCAGGCTAGTCGTACGTGACTCACGTACGGCTAGAACTTTTGGCTAGCCGTACGGGCCTTCCTTTCCAATATTGAAAATAGATAAAGTATTCAAATGAATATACAATACATATATCATGATCACACCATTGCTATTAAAATTTGACATTAACAGAATTTCGACAGAAAGACCGACCCATTTTGAAAAACTGATATTACATAGATGTCGGTCTTAATGTAGGGAGCACATCATCTATATTTATAATAAAAATCCCTGGCGCCTAACTAGCTGTAGACTACATTGAAAAGAATCAGATGACATGCATAAATATTGGTGTCATAGCAATTCTTACACTACAAATTAAATCAGAGTAGACAAAATAGTCAATTTATGTCAATTAAAGTCCTGAAGTTATGTAACAAATATAACCTTTGGCCAAGTTTTTGTCTCCATATTTTGTTGTTTCTGCCGACTTCATGAAGAATAGAGCATACTTCGGATACATTTAAAACATCTTTATAATCAAGAATAGTATATGTAAATATATGTTCAATTATTTCAACTGGCAATTCCAAAATGCATGCAAAATTTGTATCTTTTTCTTCTATTTCTTTGCAACTTTCTTCAGGCCCGTCCATGTTTGTTTGTTTTTGTTTTTTTCGGCGCCGTAATATTTTCATGCCGTTAGAAAAAGATTACCTATACATAAAACACTACTAAATATTTAAGCTTATATGACACTAAATGTTGTTTGCTTGCACACACTGTAAAATCAAAGGGCTGCAAGTTCTGTAGTATTTTTCTGATCTTTGCAATCTAAATCGTACTGTATATCTGTATGTATTTTCCTGTATAAGTTTATTTTTTATATTCTATAATTCATCTTACAGGGCACCGAGATGCAGCGTTTAGATTTGCTACTTTAACAGTTTGTGTTTGATACATATACGAAATTTTGCATGACTAGAGATGAATCTAAATCATTTATGTTCATTTTTTATGACAGCCACACTTTATCCTAGCATATCGTGGCTACTTCCTTAAAAAAGACACTTAAAAAAAAAGTAGTTGCCTTGACTGGGATTTGAAACCAAGAACTCTCACACCCTAAACGAGCGCGATACCCCTGCACCACAGGAAGTTATATGAAGAAAGCTTAAATAAAATCGAATAATTCTACATTTAGAATTTCCATTTCGGGTTTGTAATCCGTATAAATTTTGAGGTATTTCGTTTACGACAAACCTGTTGTTTCACACCTATGTTAATAATTTAGCGAAAAACTTCTTGCCAAAACAGTCCGACATGTATATATTCCACTACTCGACAGTCAGATTTATTTGTGTACTATGCTCTGAAGTATTCGGTAATTGACATTGCTAAAAATAGCATTTTCATTGATTAAAATGATATTCATCTGCATAATTGTGATTGTGCATTTATTAACGATTCTATAAGCCAACGCTACTTTTAAACTTTGAATGCGTTGTAATTTGTTGGATACTTGTAACAAAATAAAAATAGTTCTTTCTCTTACATCTCTAGTTTTAAGGTGTGTTGTTAGGTTTGTCGTAAAATTCTGTGCCAGAGATTGAATGTCAGCATTGTATTTCCTGATCTGCGATCAGAAAATACAAAAAAACTGGAAAAAAGGAGACCACCTCAGAAGCAATTGAAACAAAACAAATAGATGAAAAATTGCATAGATATACCATGAATGCAAGCATTTCACTTCCAAATCCAAACTTCAATTTCAGATTATGACCAGATGGCACAAATAGTTGGAGAAACAGTTATAAAAGTGATTTATGTTAAAATAGGAAGTACAAGTAAAGTATGCTAGAGTAAAGTAAAGAGTTACAATGTAGTATAATATGTGAACCACTGTCAGTTTCACAGATTATTCCTAGACAGTGGCTAGATTTTAGGCATAGGTCTATTTTGGTGTGGAAAGAAGAAATTACAAATTAATGTACATGTAGTTCTATAATGGTATGAGATAGGTGACTAAATTAACAGTTATGATTAAGGTTTCTGGTAGGTACAAGGACACCTTTGATAAAATAGCTTGAGTAGTCACTTTGTTCTATTTTCTTTCATTCTACGTTTTAATATAAGCTCACATTCTTCATTTACATATATATAATAGCACTCAGATTTATTCAGTTAAAGCCATGATAAAGCTAACACCATCATTAACTTATTTGGACTTTTTCAACGTAGATGCATAAATCTTTGGAAACGTAACACATACAAGACAAACTTTTAAGACATTTCTTTTACAGTGTATCACATATTAGCAACTAACATGCTGTTAATTTAAACAGTGTCTATTTATTTAAGCTTGATTTTGCTGAAGTTTACTTAAACTACTCAAGACTGCTTCCTGGAACTAACCAGTACTGATGTATGACTTGAACAGTTACGCATATTGGAAAAATAAATACCCTGTCAAATACATACACTGACTTGAACCAAGAAATACAGACAGAGACTGGGTGTGACTTCCACACAAATGCACATTTAGTAAGTTTTTTTTATTCAGGAGTCAGTAATTCTACAGACATTTAAGGTAAAATCTCTTGAATCTTGGGACAGCATTAAAGTATTTTGCCAAAATATTGTTGGTTGTGTAAATTATAAACTGCATGTAAAGTTAATATTTTGTATGACTTGTATTCTTTAGTCTTAAACACATGAAACTTACCAATAGTCCTATTACCAATAGTCCTAACTCTTAACTATACAAAACTGCACATTATACAAAACTGTACATGTTTTAAATGATATGATCATAAAAAATGACAAAAGACTTCTTTTTTTTTCAATTTTTATCTCTGTTTGTTTCTTTTAAAAATCTTGAAGTAATAACTACATAAGTTAAGTTAATTCTGATAAGGGCTGTATCAGGAGAGACGATTTCAAACACATAAATTGCCACAAGTGGTGCAATTTATCAGAATAAGTTTTTATAACATACAGTCATTAAATGCATAAAGAAAATCTGAGCAAAAACAAAGGAATTAATTTTAATCCAATGAATAGGTTAACACAATCTTATTATTGTGTTTTTGTAATTAACAAGCATATGAACACGGCAGAATAACACCAAAAATGCGTAATATGAAATTTCATATAAAACTAGAACTGTGTCCAAAGGACACGGATGCCCCCACTGACAACATATATATGGTATATAGTGAAAAAATCAACAAAGGGAAATAATTCTGTTAAATATGGTCGCAGCAAAAATTCCTTCCTATTCTTCCATCTACACATTAAGGTTGATCATCCCTGGAAGTTTAAGCAAAATCTGCCATCCGGTTTAAGACGAGTTGCATTCTCAAAATTTCTATATGGTATATAGTGAAAAGATCAACAAAGGGCCATAATTCTGTTAAATTTGGTCACAGCAAAAATTCCTTCCTTCACTACCATCTACACATTAAGGTTGTTCATCCCTGGAAGTTTAAGCCATATCTGCCATCCGGTTTAAGAGTTGCGTTCCCCAAGATTTCGGAACGTACGGACAGATGTTCGGACGGACGGACGTACGGACAAGTGCAACGCTATATGCTCCCCACTTTTGGGGGCATAAAAATCAGACCAGTGCTCAAGATCTGTACACAAGTCCAAATATATCCTGTATTGTACAAAACAATAAATAATTTATTCTATATCCATTTTATATTGATAAAAAAATGTAGCAAAGTTTAACTGTCATGATTATCCCATGAAAATCTAAATTACACACATACAGAATTATAAAGCCACTAATACATGGACATAACAATTATAGAACCATAGAACTTGAATACAGTTATAGAATAGAACCATAACTATAAAGCCACATAGTTGATGAACCATCAGTACATGGACACAGGTACATGGCCAAAGGTATAAAACCATAGGTACATGGACACAGGTACAGAACCACAAGTTCATGGAAACAGGTACAGAATCATAGGTACATGGACAAAGGTATAGAACCATAGGTACATGGACAAAGGTATAGAACCATAGGTGCATAGAAATAAAGTTATGGAACCAGAAATACATGGACACTTTTTTAGAAACATAACAACTTGAACACACAGTTACAGAACCATTAGTACATGGACACACAGTTATAGACCCATAAACAGAAGAAAACACATCTATAGAACAATAAATACATGGACACACAGTTAAGGAACCATAGGTTCATGGACACGGAAATAGAACCATAGGTACATGGAAATACAGTTACAAAACCATAGGAATGTGGACACAGCTATAGAAACATAGACAAATGACCACAGAGTAATAGAACCATAAATGCATAGTCAATACACAGTTACAGATACATACATACAGTTAAAGAACCAAAGGTACACAAACAGTTATAGAACCATTAGATACATGGACACAGTTATGGGACATTAACTACATTGGCTTTTGTAGAAATGCTTTTGCACAGTTATAAAATCATAAAAAAAACTTGAAGACAGTTACAGAACCATAACAACTGCTTGAATACTCAACGTGATAACATTACAACTACTTGTGTACTTAAAAGTGATATGTACACTTTAGGTGATAATCATTATCTAAATGTATGTACAAAAAAGAGATGAGTACATAACCAAATGTACATATTAAATGATAATTTATCTTTACAAGCACACTATCATGAGGTGATAATTTACCATAACCATAGGTACACAAAAGGTGAGAATTTACAGGGGCCTTGATTGGCAGTATGATTTCTGCTGATTATCTTGGATACTATCTTTCACAAAGTTTTCATATTTCACATATTGAGTGGTTATAACTAGACTAGTAGATAATCCCTATTGATTTTGGGGTCACTAGGTCAAAGGTCAAGGTAATCAAGATAATGAGCGGAAACCATTCTGACATTTAAGGCCCCTGTGACCTTGACCTTTGACCTGGTGACCCCAAAAACAATAGGGGTCATCTAATAGTTATGACCAATCAGTATATGAAATATGAAGACTTTGTGATAAATAGTTTTTCAAGATAATCAGCAGAAATCATACTACCATTCAAGGCCCTTGCTGGTGAATTATGAAGACTTTGTGATAAATACTTTTCAAGATAATCATCGGAAACCATGTGGTCTACCGGCAGACAGACCGACAGAAAGACAGACCGACATTAGCAAAACAATATACCCCCTCTTCATCGAAGGGGGGCATAATTATCGCTTTAATCCCTTTAACATGTCTTTTATTACATGCCAAATATAAGCACGCTCATTGAAATCCCTCAAAAGTTATCTTGTGGAAATCAATAATCACATAGAAAATTTAGATGAAATGGGGCATAACTCTATCAATAATAAATTTATTGCTGGAAAAATAACTTTTTTTGATATAACAAAATCCAAATTACATGGCAAATATAAACAAAATCATGGAAATTCTTAAAAGTTTTCCTGTGGAAATCAATTGTCTATTGACAGATGAATAGACTGACAATGCCACATCATAATATGTCCCAAAGTTTCTCGTGGCGTAAAAAAATAATATGATAATTTACCTAAGTCAGATGTACAATTAAGGTGATGAGAAGGTAAAATTAGCATCAACTGTTTACACACAAAGCGATTATGTCATTCCAGTTATCCTACAAAATATCACAGTTTATAATCATTATAACAGGAAAACTTTTGTACACAATTTATTATTTCCTATCTAAAGTTTACATTCCTGTCATTAGGGCCTCCACAATCCCCCTCTCTTGTGTATGTCATGTGTATTTTGAAAATTGATTATATATGCTAGTGTTGATATATGAGCCGTATCTCGACAAAACCAACATAGTGGGTTTGCAACCAGCATGGATTCAGACCAGCCTGCGCCTCCGCACAGTCTGATCAGGATCCATGCTGTTCGGTATCAGTTTCTCTACTTGCTATAAGGTTTGTAAGCGAACAGCATGGATCCTGATCAGACTGCGCGGATGCGCAGGCTGGTCTGGATCCATGCTCGTCACAAACCCATTATGTTGGTTTTGTCATGACGCAGCTCATATATAACTGTGAATTCACTTAAATCCATGTGCATGAAATCACCTGGTTTTGTCAAAAAAGTCCTTTTTGTTGATACTTAAAAAAATTAAAATACACGAACTGTCTATTTGTGCAAAAAAGTAAAATGCATACTAGTAACATAATAAATATAACTGTACAGCAGACAAAATAATATTTCATTGGATCTTAAATTCGTTGATTGACCTATCAACGTAAACCATGAAAATTAGTGCCCTACAAATAACAATGGTTATGCAGTATGTACATCCAAGATGACATGTATATTTATAACAAAATTGAGATTCAAATCCATGTATAATGTTTGTATAAAACTTTCATCCATACAGTCTCTCAATTACATTTCAATCTCTCAATGTCATGTGACAAAACAAGTCATGTGACAAAACAAGTCATGTAAGTCATGTGACAAAACAAGTCACGTGATAAAACAAGATAATTATCGCGATAAGCCATGTGTTGCTTGGTAATGCGGGGGTTGCGTTCATTGAATGCCACCCATCCTTGTTGATCTTGTTTTTCATATTTAGTGATATTGTCATTTGGTCTTCGTGCCTTTTTGCATTACAATTGGGGAACTTTTTGCATTACAATTGGTGAAATTTTTGCATTATTTGCATTACAATTGGTGAAATTTTTGCATTATTTGCATTACAATTGGTGAAAATTTTGCATTAAAACTGGTGAAATTTTTGCATTACAACTGGTGAAATTTTTGCATTACAACTGGTGAAATTTTTGCATTACAGTTGGTGAAAGTTTTGCATTACAGTTGGTGAATTTTTTGCATTACAATTGGTGAAATTTTTGCATTACAACTGGTGAAATTTTGTATTACAACTGGTGAAATTTTTGCATTACAGTTGGTGAAATTTTTGCATTACAGTTGGTGAAATTTTTGCATTACAATTGGTGAAAATTTTGCATTACAATTGGTGAAATTTTTGCATTACAGTTGGTGAAATTTTTGCATTACAGTTGGTGAAATTTTTGCATTACAACTGGTGAAATTTTTGCATTACAACTGGTGAAATTTTTGCATTACAATTGGTCAAATTCTAACACTTGTCACTGATTTCCCTTTATAAGCACAAATGACTGGCATACATCTAATATTGCTGAACATGGAGCTTAGATGTTTGTAGTAAATCACACCGTAAGAAGTACAGCCTTTTATGACTACAATACAATGCATATAAACTCCATTTCTTGCAATGTACCGCACAATGAACTACCTTTCTTGCATTATTTAAACAACAAAGACACTCACAACCAAATTTGGCTTTCCTGAATGAATCATATGTTAGTTTATTATTTAAACAGTATACCTTTAACAATTTTAGTCAGCAGTTAGAAAATATACATGTACAAAATGTAAATGGAAGCTATGGAATGAAACCACAACATGGAAAAATACAAGATCTACCTGTTAACAAACACCAAAATATTATATATATAAAAAAGAAATTTTCTCAGATAGTAATCTTAAACAAATAAAAAAAATATAATGAGAATTACTATAAAAAGACTTAACATACATACTAAGAAAGAAGTAAATATAACAAATCTCATGGTAATATGTACACTACATAACAATGTATACTAAGCAATAAGCTTGGCAATTACAGCTGTGTAAGCACTTACATTATTCCTTTTTTTCTTTTTTGAAAAAAGAATACATATGTAATTAATGTAATGTTTTACAGTATGAAAAAAAAAAACACTAAAAAACAACACAACAATGATATTTCCATAAATTCACTATCTGTTATTGATCCCTCGAGCACTTAATCTTATTGTCATGGAAACTGACCTATATCAACAGTATATTGTATGTCACGATCTCTTAATGCCGTCTGCTGACATAATAAAATTCATGTCTTCAATTTTGCATTTTTATTGTTAATTTCAAACATGCATGCACAAAAAAGATTGTTCAAATAGCCTAAAACACCCCGGCCCAAACAAGGCGGGGGGTCTAAAAAAGAGGTGCCCCCCCTAAATATTATCATCAGATTTTTTTACATATCACCTATATACCATCCACCAGTACTGGAAAAATATTGAACTTGAAAAAAATGCGTTTACGTGTAGAGGTATTACTGTTGTTTTCATAAATATCATGCATCAAAAAATACTGTTACTGTCATGTTTTAAAAGAGTCATTCATTTACACTGAAATGCATTTAGAAATAAGTAAGGGAGACATGGCCTGTTGGTATAAACTGTCCGTCTCTCTATTCTACAAACATTTGTCACAGCCCTTCTAATATAACATTAGTACTAGTGAGTTCAGAGAGTGGAATGATCAATGTTCAAAAAATGCTCCTATCTACAATAAATATGCTATAACTAAGACAGTAAGTCAATTCTAAAATTGTCAACATTCTTTACATAATGGTAATACAGTTGAATCATACACCACAAAACACTTTTCTGTACTCCTATGATAAAACCATTTACTGTGTTTGTTCTCTTTAAATAAACCATTTACTGTGTTTGTTCTCTTTAAATAATCAGCCATCCAGCTTTCACTTCCTTATTACCATGGCATTCATAGCTTACAAATTCACGCTACATATCTCCATAGTCCCTGTAGTACCATTTTGACAAGATTTCCGCCCCTGTTTGTGTAATAAGTACTGTATGTTCAAACTGACAAGATCTACTGTTATCTTTGGACACTATCGTCCAACCATCTGACCACGTTTTATACTCTTCAGTACCTTCACATATCACCGGTTCTAAAATTCAAGAACAAATGTTATTATATACATTTACATTATTTCTTTGTTAGACAAGCTTTTACATTATATAAAATGTCTGAGAGAGCAACACAGGTTTGGGTTTCAGAGGATATGTTTATTCAATTGAAGAGCATTAAGATACCTAAAGCCCGGTATATATGTTATTTTGCCCTCATGTTTCTCATTAGGTAAATCCCAAGAGTTTGTGAGACATAAAAATAAAACAACACACCATAAATGAGCTGCATCATGACAAAATTAAGAAAGTATGTTTGCGACCAGCATGGATTCAGACCAACCTGCGCATCCGCGAAGTCCGATCAGGATCCATGCTGTTCACTTACCAACTCTATTACAAGTAGAGAAACTGAAAGCAAACAGCATGAATCCTGATTAGACTGCGGGGATGCGCAGGCTGGTATGGATCCATGCTGGTCGCAAACGCACTATGTTGATTTTGTCGTGACGCAGCTCAAATGTTATTAATGATATTTTATTTTAAGCCAGTAAATTCTTTTTACATGGGAAAATTTTGTATGTTTTAAGTGAGGAAACAATTTGCCATACATAAAGCCATGTCATGAATATTGTGAATTTTTGAGCTCTAAGAGACATCCCAAGTCCAGTAAAGATGTTATCTGGAACTAGGCGAACATATTTTTTACCCCATTCCTTTACGATGATGAGCATAAAATTGATTTTCTTACTTTCATTATACAGAGTTATCTTAGAGTATTTTGCTACTTCTGAAAATATATGTGAAAACTTTAACTTAGTCGGTAAAGAGGAAGTGGACAAGCAACAGAGCTGAAATCAAATACGACGGTATGGGACCATGTGTTAATTCTGTATACCAAACATCAAGAGGCTGTGATAAGTAGTTGCTAAGAAAACGGTTACAAACTTTTTGCACCTGTGCAACCCGGCCAAAAATTAGTTCCACAACCTTAAGTTTTATAATGTAATCTTTTATTGAGAAAATACTACAACAAATTTGATGTTACTTATACTCTGTGTTACTAAATGGAATACCTATGGTAAAGGTCATCCCTGGCTGCATATACAACTTTGTTTCATCGATTTCATAAGCTGCAATAGATGTAAAAATTTCCATTTAGTTAAAACTGTGTAATAATTAAATTAAAAACATATACTGAAAACAACTCACACACAGTCATGCTTTAGAAACTATTATTTAATGAGGACTTCAAACAAACTGTAAAAAACATAAGGTACCAGTGAGAAATATTTGACTGAAATGCTCTAGAAGTGTAAAGTGATTCAAATGACTGCACGACTATTCTCAGCGCTTATTAGTTAAGCAAGAGCCTGTATAATGTAGATTTTTTTTTTAAGTTCAAAAAAAGACTATAATTTTGTCATAATCCATGTTAGAGTTATTGCCCTTAAACAGTTTCATCTTTTATGCTCTCAAATAAATGTGAAGTTTCAACCTATTCCCTTGGTACCAATTTGCACTTAAAAACTTAACCCGAGTGTGACGCCGACACCTAAATGACTACAAAAGCTCTCCCTACTCTTTGAATAGTCAAGCTAAAATACTTTAGAAAAATACTTACGAATATGAAAAATAGTTGGTGGTCCATGGAAATACGAGCCAATACCATGACCAGTTATTTCAGGTACTACTACAAAACCCTCAGAGTACGCATATTCACTGAAATATATTTTGTAACGACAGTTAAATCTATTCAAGATAGAATCAGCCTTTTATGACCCACCAAGACCAACATTTAATTTTAATTTTCAAAGTTGTTTACCTCAAAAAATGACAATATATATATATAATTGCATATACCTACTGACCACAAGTTAATATTCTAAACAGCTTGAAAACTTACAATGTTCTTAATAAGGAAAATGAATCATGTCTGGAGATCACATTGTTATCTGTTTGTTTGCTGGTTTTATGAATTAATTTAAAAAAATCTATTTTAGAAACTAGATATAGTAGCTTGATGACTTCTTTCTGGGTGTCTTAGTCTTCATACAGACATATAGGCATAATTCAAACAGTTTCATAGATTTTTCTATATACTTTACATGATCTTATATTACCTTAGAATAAGATAAAACATAAGGCAGTTTCATTCTGCCTATATGTCACTATGAAAACAATAACTGTAGTCAGTATTTGAACCAGTATAAGAATTAAACTACCTAACGTTATATCGTATTGTAAGAATTAGATCATGCAAAGTTTATAGAAAATCTATGAAACAGTTTGTCTCTCTGAAACTAAAAATAGCCACTGCAGCCAGTATTTAAACCATTATAAGAATGAAACTTAATGTAAAGTTTATAGAGAATCTATGAAACAGTTTGTCTTACTGAAACTATAGCCACTGTAGCCAAATTTAAACCAGTATAAGAATGAAAGTTAATGCAAAGTTTATAGAGAATCTATGAAACAGTTTGTCTGTCTGAAACTAAAAACAGCCACTGTAGCCAGAATTTAAACCAGTATAAGAATGAAACTTAATGCAAAGTTTATAGAAAATCTATGAAACAGATTGTCTGTCTGAAACTAAAAATAGCCACTGTAGCCAGTATTTAAACCAGTATAAGAATGAAACTAAATGTAAAGTTTATAGAAAATCTATGAAACAGTTTGTCTGTCTGAAACTAAAAACAGCCACTGCTGCCAGTATTTAAACCAGTATAAGAATGAAACTAATTGTAAAGTTTATAGAAAATCTATGAAACAGTAAAAAGTATGCCTATATGTCTGCATGAAAACTTAACCCACTGTAACCAGTATTTGTATCATTATAAAGTTTGGTAGAAAGGGAATCTCAATATGTGAACTTTGCCTTTGACCTATAATTAGTAAAACAATAGTGATCTTCAAATCAATTCTCAGTATAAATGTATGATACAGTTTTTCTTTTATACACATTAAGAGGTTGTTTGGTTTTTGAGCAGAAATAAATCTTTGGGTAATGAAACTGATCACCACTAATCAAAACAAGTACACTGACATTACAGTATAATCATTTATTGTTTCAAACTGAGGCAAATAAATAATTAATTACACTACCTAACTGCGTTTCCAATATCACAGAATCTAGTCCCTGGTTTACAAACTTTTATTCCTTCCATTAAACTTTGACGACCAACTTCCAATAGTTTTCTACCAGCCTCATCGACATCACCGACCATGAATGTCTCTGATACATCACCATGGTAACCATGGAAAAACACCTGGTGAATAAAGTAAATATTTCTCAATGCTTTCTAGGCAATTTGGTTATTTTGAGAGTAAGGCAAGAAGTAAAGCAAAAGGTATGTAAATACAGGGCAAAGAAGAATATTGGCTCAACATCATTCTGGTAAAGTTAAAAGAATATTTTTACTAAAAGTAGGAAAATATATTATTATGCTCAATGACTTTGGCTTAGGCAAAACTGACGTGACACCACCCTAAATGGTTCAGATAAATGGAAATTAAAATGCATCAAATATGTCCAATATTAGTTGATATTCATTTATGAGAAATGGTTACATAGTGAGATGTAAGAACAGAAGGGGAGAGAAACAGTTTGATGGAAAAGGCGTACCAAAAATTATACATTTGTATGCTCAACTACATGTGTTAACATTTCTTGGAGCATAAAAAAGATGCAAAAGATACAATATATTATAACCAAATATGATATAAACATTTCCCTTACACTAACGTCAACATTTACAATATCCCCATCCTCTAGTGGCCTATCATCAGGTATACCATGACAATGTACATTATTCACAGACGTACAAACCGACTTCGGGTAACCTTTATACATTAAAGGTGAAGGGTAGGCGTTGTTAGCTATACATGTTTCATGTACAATTTTGTCAATTTGATCTGTAGTTGTGCCAACCTGAAACATAATCAAAAGTTATTTTGAAATATCTAACAACATGTATTATACACAAATAAACAAGAGGTCCATGATGACCAAAGATCACTCACTTAAGATTCTTTGCTTTAATGCATATGATGTACAATTATTGATTGAATGAAAATTCTTTTAATTATTTAAACTTTTAAAACATATCTATCACATATATACATATCGGGGAGAAACTGGTAAGGGTGAGAATAGTCTGACTACCCGGAAAAAGTACATAATACATTATGGCAGCCACCGTGATTTGCACTGGCCATCTGCTCTAGTAATTTTGGTTACTTGGTGGTCATTGACCGTGTTGAGCAGTGACCATCCTATAAAGGACAAATATATAGTCTGATAGATCTATAGACTTTTCTATTTTCTTTTTGTTATTTCTGGAAACTTGTAATAATTAATTTTCTATTGCACAATTTTCAATTGTTCTTGAAAAAGAGGAATTTAACCCACCTCCGCAGCACCCCAACTCCACAAAAAAAACATCAAACATAAGAGGGGGCCTTCAGACAGTGTAATTAGGTTGGTTATATCAAAATACTATCTGTTCTTTTACATTTGTGAACAGTAATACATTGCGTACTGTACACTAATTATAAGGTACATTACCTTTATAGATTTGGAGACACGATCCAGTACGTATCTAGCTAGTTTACAGGCATTCCATGTACCTTGAATGTCTACATCTCTCTTAATTTCTGGCTCTAATGGACTGGCAGGAACTACACCTGTAAACAAAATTTAGTACTTAAATTGATCAATCAATACATCATGAGTTGGTTTAATAAACATTATATGTTGCCAGTTAGCATACATGTGCCTTAATTATCATTGATCGAAATGTATGAAGAATTAAAACAAATCTTTATCATGTTTGCAAATGTTTTCACCAATTCTATCACTTTTCATCACAATCATAGTTAGTTGTAGAGGCAGAACTTACAATTTTAAATATTATTTTCAAATGTTCAGTTATTTGAAATGTTACATTATATTGAAAGTTTGAAACACACATACACTATACGGTAAAGTAAATATTCATTTATCTATTTTATTGTAGGATTATTATAGACAAACATATGTATAAATTACAAACTATGTATAAATTTTGCTGATTAGTGATGCATGTATTTATAATCATGTATCTATAATATAAAAAAAGAAAAATTGTTCTATTAATAAGACCCCTACCTGTGGCAACATATGGTGGTTTCTTGATATGGTCTGGGACAGTCCTGGGCGGACCAATTACACCAGGTTTATTTAAAACACTGTATGAAACTGTGCTCAACTGTATCCTTGACGACGATCTCAATAAACTAGTACCCAGTAGATGACACACCTTGAGTCTCATACTCGCCTGGAAATTACAAAGTTAAATCAGAACCTTAAATAAGAACAAGTAGATCTTATACGATTTATCAGGTATAACAAAATATTTCTTAAAGAATTCTCTTTTAGTATCTAAAGAGTAAATAAATATATAAAGTTAGCACATTCATTGTGCAAAGAATTTTATAAGTTTGATCATAAAATAATCACCAGAGGATTATTTTTACTATCAAATATAGCATGTGCAAATTTTTTAATGCATGAAGACACATTGTTTACACCATTCATCTCTATTCAATTGATCTTCGTTTACTATTATTGCAAATCATATAGATAATTCCATATTGATATCGTTTTTGAGAAATATTTATTTCAAGCTAGTGCACACTACACATCAATGTTAAGCAATTAGGTGCCCTTTAAAATGTTGAAAAAAGGTTAAAAAACAAATGACTTTACATTCCCAGACAATTTTAAACAAGAGCTGGTTTAAACCAGGTTATGCTCCCCAAATAGGTTTTGGATACAGGAAAGTACAGTAGAAAGGAAAGCAGTTTCAGAGTTATGTCCCAAAGTTCAAAGTGCAATAATTCCAAAATTAGGCAAAGCAGAGTTACTGTTTTTTGCACTGCACTTTTACTCAATGAGGTCTATCTACCTACTTAGTTTCTTTTTTGATACCTCTTGTAGTTTCACAGAAATGTCCCGGACAAAGTTCACAGCATAAAATTGAAAAAGGGCAATAACTCCAAAATTAGGCAAGGCAGAGTTACATTTCTTTTGCACTGCATATGTACCTAATGAGATCTATCTACCTATAAACATTTATGTTAATATCTCTTATAGTTTCAAAGTTTTCTCCAGGAAAAAGTTCAAAGAGAAAAAATGAATGAAGGGCAATAACTCCAAAACTAAGGAAGGCAGAGTTACGTTTTTTTTGCACTGCACTTCTATTCAATGAGCTCTATCTACCTTAGTTATTGTTCATAGCTCTTATGGTTTCAGAGCTATGTCCTTGACAAATTCAAAGTGAAAAGAAATGGAACAAAGGGCAATAACTCCAAAATTAAGAAAGTTAGAGTTATGGTTCTTTTGCACTGCACTTTTACCAAATGAGATCCATCTACCTACAAAGTTTCATGTTGGTATCTCTTAAAGTATCAGAGTTTTGTCCAAGTCATTTCTTTGGTGTACAATAAAAAATATTGGTTCATTTATTTATCGCTGTGCTTGTTTTAGTCACTAAATTGCACAATTCTGCATTGCTTTTGCACACTTCCTCTGTTATTTGCACATTCCTGCATTACTGGATATACACTGTGTAGTAACTATAAATATGACATTGCTTTGGGATATTTTTACTATGAACTATAACAAGCCAGTAAAGTCTGATATATTGGGACTAGATTTTTATCCTTTACACAAACAAAATAAGTTACATTGTTTATCTTAAACATACTAACAATGCCTTTTTTTTTTTTGCAAATTTTAGCTAACTGGTTTAGCTTTCTTTAGCTTTTAACTGACTGGAATGTTAGACACGCCCTATTAGTAAAATACACCTATAAACACTTTCAATATGATCTACATAAATAACTGAGGTATATCGAGTGAAAAAATACGAGTTGCTTCCCTTATCTTCGAGTAAAATCGACATCGCTTATGCTAAAACAATACAAAATAGGCCGTTTTTTAAACCGCTAGTTTGTTGTGATTAAATGTCCGATTTTAAAATGTATTACACCAATTAAAAGCTTTAGATCTTAGCTTCATCACAGTATAAACTTCAACACATCTTTTTACTCCAAAGTATTTAAATTTACTGTTAAACCTACCATATGACAGACCATTTTACATATGATTTATACAGTGAGATACGCAACCTGTTATCTTTACTCGGAATATTACTGATAAGAATATCCGGTCGTCTGCTAGTTCTGAAAGTGTTTATCGGTGTATTGGAGGGTTTCACCTAAATTGCAAAAATGAGACTGACCAACCCAATATTTCCATGTAGTGTCAATTATATGATATAACATTAATTTCTGGTAAATAGATCTATATTACTTACTTATAATGTAAATCAAACCAAAATTTGCTTCTTAATTAGGAACAGATAATCTAAGATTTTTGGATGTGTCGCGAAATCATGTGACAAATTAACTTTCACTTTTATATTGAGTTTTTCTTTTAACTACTATTATAAAGATGTGCTTATTTAGTGTCTTTCTTTAGCAATCAACGCTTGCAATGTACATATAATTAATGACATTCACTGTAAATTGTTGGTTTTCTGTCTGCAATTCTTTCGGTTTCATACCAGACTACAACCCGTTCTTTACCGTTACTTATTAAGGTTGAACACGCACAAATGTTTTCCTTCTTTCCAAAGTTTTTAATTGATTTGTTGTATTTTTCAAAAAGTTAAACTTCACAAACACGTTACTGGTCTACAGTATTTAAAGTTTATAAAAAGTGCTTGTACCCTGTGTAAACCAAAATAGTAACAATTGATTTTAATGCTCCGGAAATTTGAGTCAGAAGGATATTGGATGGTTGGATAGACAGATTTTTATTACACTTTTCTTTGTACAGTACTGTTCTTTTGTGGTAATAATGGTAGCCAGTTAAATTGATTATTTTATATGCAGAAGAAGTTGTATTAACCTGTATAAATCTAAGTCATAATGGCCAGCCAATGTGACATTGTGGGTATCATAGTCACACATTTTAACCAGACTCAAGTAAGAGTTTTACCGATACATGGTGAGTATTCAGGATATCCATGTCTCCAAGCATTACCAGATGGTGTTATTGTCTTTAAAGTGCTTTTGTAGATTTCCCCTGAAAACAATATTTAGTTTCTTAAATTTCATTAGCTGCTATTTTAATGTTCACAGATGATATTGCACTAATATCTGACACAGTTGTTGTTCTGCAATTCTAAATTCTCTGAAAGAACTTGTGCTGACAAGGAAATTATTTTCAACACAACAAAACTAGTTTAAAGTGGACAAGTATAATCTGGTTGTATTGACTAAGGGGTCAATATGAATACATTATAACATTGATTTAAATATTTGATCCAACTTTGGTTCTGCCCATGTAATTTTCAAAAATTAATATGGAATTTATAGATAATGTTTTGAAAAGTCAGTTAAGCTTTATGTGTAGGTCAGCATCACATCTGCAATAGCATAGTCAGTTTCACAAGTGATTGCTTAATATAAGGGAGTTATGTGGTTGAATGCTTACTATTGTCATTGTTTTTCTCTTTCTTTTCTATTTTATGGAAAATGGCCAAGTCTTTGCAAAATGTAGACATGGATGTCAACACTGTTTTGTCTTGTTTTGTATATATTGTATTTTACTGATATTGTTTTTCATTCTGACTGAATTAATTATTAAAAAATGTTAGAGAATCTATTTAAAAACTGTATAGACTTTATTAATAAAGAATAGAATAAAAGTTTAATAGAATCAAACAATACATGAAGATAAAAAGGTGGATACAATCAAAGTGTTTGTAGGCTTTACTTATGTGAGTCTATATTTCAGCTGGGCATTGTTGTTAAGCATTGTATAATCAAGCAGTCTGCTTTAAAGGCAAGGAAAGCTTATTTAACCCTTTCCCTCATGAGCATATTGTGAAAAATGGCCGTTTTCATTGAAAAGCCTACTGTTACAAGTTCAAACTGCTATGAAACTATGAAAAATGCTTCAATACTAATCAAACTTTTTTGGCACAAATGTTGACTGGACCATTGCCTTTGTAACGACATGCTCATTCTTAAATTTCCTGTTACCATGGCAACGAGGGTACATCTTAAAATTGCCAAAAATCACTATTTTGCCTTGATTTTTTCCATCAAAATTTATTTCAAAGTGCTGCAACTTCTCAAGGGATTGAGATAGTCAAAGGCTTTTCAGCGTTGGTTACACGTTACCGTAGGATCAACCTGGGGTCATTTTTAGCCTCTCCCAAGTCCAAAATTTTCTTGGTGATGAGGGGGACTACCGCCGCCCTTCAAACCCCCAAAACAGAAGGGGGCACATCCCCCTTCTGGTAATCCCCTGATGTGTCTTTTGGATAGGGGGCGGCACCGAAAAAGTGCTCACTTTTTTAATCAACATTTCTCAAATGAAAACATGTGCTTGGGGCCAAAATTGGACATTTTTTCACTATTTTAGGCCTAAAACAGGGGGGGGGGGTCGGGTCGAAAGTGTGTTGTTTCACGTATATATGAGGTAAAGGGTTAAAGGTTTATCTTAACAAACATTCATGAAATCAAATGTATCATTTAAAATGTTTGATATATTTATTTACAGCGAAGTTGTATGGTTCTAAATTTCATAAATGTTAACAAACCAAAATAACAAACTGATAGGCAATCCTGTGTTATCAATTTAGAATTAAATTATTTTTCATTATTCAGTACAATAGTGATTTCCACTGGATATAGCTGTCAAACCTACATTTGACTAGGCGTAGCTGAGCCTTATATTTATTTTGCACTTGTGTTCAAGTCCCCTGTAATCAGTTCTTAATGCATATTGGCATAATCAAAATTTTAAAGGAACTCCACTGAGGTACAAAAGCCTAAAACATGATATTTGAATTTTTTTTACTTAGAACAGATTGGGCACTTAAAATAGAAAGATATCCTAAAGATAATTAAGAAATATACTTAGAAATTAATTAAAAATTGTATTGTCCCGATTTTGGTCATTTTTCACAAGTACAATAATTATTCTGGAAGAATGGAGTGAGTGAATGATCTGAAATTTTGCACACAAGTTATTAGCATAGGTCTACATCAAATGGAACATTAATCTCCAAAAATTATTTCCAGTCCCACCTAGTTAAAAAACTTCAGTGTACAAAAAGGTTTTGAAATGATTTTCTTGGACTCGTCAGATGAAAACAAAACAAGACAAAAAAACATTATTGGAATTTAATATGAATGTTTTTAGACTTGGGAAAATGGAAACAGATAAATATGGAAAAGTGAAAACATTGCTAAATTGATAAGATTGGGGCCCAAAATGAATTATATTAGCTGATCACATGAATGCTGGATAAACTGCATGTTCAATGAAAAAGCAATTAAGCATAACCCACTACTTTGCAGATGACAGGTACTTTTTGATCTCCTGTTGAAGCAGTGTGTATACATGCTTTAAGAGTTGCGACTCTATATATATTTACATCTTCTTAGAGACACTGGTTGGCTTTCTAACTCGCTTTGTTAGATAGGATTACAATGCAAAATTTGAAGACTGTGTACAAAACCTATCCAAATGTGTCAAGTACCTTTTTATTGACAAGTGTCAATAATTATATGCTATACTTTCTCTGAAATGATAATAATTATGTCTGTCGCACATGTATTTTCGTATTTTTTCATTCCTTCATCCATATAAGACACGCGGCTTCACTAAATATGCTTAAATTCAATCTTAGAAAAATATTGTCTCATATAGACTCTGGTGTTCCAGGTATCCTGTTTTATGTGTGGAGAAAGATACAAGGGCTTCGTCTGTTAGTTTTTCAGGCACAAGCAGTAGAACCATTGACCTGTAGGTAGTAAACTAGCTGGTTAACCTTCTCACACAAATTTCTTTATAGTTCTAAATTTTAGTAGAAAAAGATAAAAATACAGAGTCAGTGGAAAGGCATAGAGACCATTTTATTAGGGAGCAAGAAACAAAATATTTTGAATGATTAAAAACAATCTTCCGGAAAAAAAAGGTAGAATGGGAGACAACACATTTGTCTGAAGTTTTATTGAACATTAATATTTACAAACAAAGTTAAATTAACAAACCATAATTTCCTTTTTGTTGCTAACCAAAATCTATGAAAGTTCTTTCAAAATTTTTACATGATATTACTGTAAAAAAGTTCTGCTAGGAATAAATGCTAGTAATTTCTCAACAACTTTGACAAAGTTTATCAATATTCATAATCTGAAAAGACATAATTTCAGTGTACATGGTTCCAAAATAATATTTCTTCCAGTATACTGAATTATAATAATTTCTGCACATTAAAACACATTGCAAGTCTGTTGGAAGTCTGTACACAATATAATTGTCAAAACACATTTCTATCATATTTTTTTTTACACTAACATATTTCTCATAATCACATGTCTTACAAACTATTAACTTATTTAAACCTTTTTCCTGCCTTCAAGATTGGTATACCTATCTCCCTCACAGGTACACTAGTTCTATCTTTATTATGGTATTTTTCTAACATTTTGATTGAGCATTCATTTTATTATAAATTTGTTCATTATCTTCCCTAAAAGTATAGGTTTTGTATATTTTATATAAAGTGGACAATACGCAACCGTTTGTAAGACTGTAACAACAGTAAATTTTCAGAAATGTTCAAGCGATATATTAATTATAGTAATATTTCACTCATCAATTTCACAAGAATCTTCTCTATCTCAAATCGATCAAATCTAACTGGTCAGCTAATCAGATTTTGATTTTATTGCCTATTTGTAGAATCAAAATTTCACCGATACTACTAAAGCTGATATCACAAATTTATATTTATTTTCCAACCATTATCTAACATTGGCATCCATCTTTAGCTGGTTTAATTTCCTCATAAGGTTTTCTAATTCATCGCCTCTGAAAATAAAACAAAACATAACACTGTAATGTATGCCAATATTTTATTAAATGTTGCTTTGTTCAGTTTTTAAATGGTTACCAAGATAGAAGTAACTGAATTAATGTAATAATTAACTGGCAACATCTCACAGAAATGCTCATTATTACTGCATGGTCTTGAAAGGTTAACTAAGAAATAGAATTCTTCAGAGATATAGGTGATGAGTGGTAATTAGAAGGGCAATATGGTGTTATGTCTGTATACCGTAAAACAGATTGACTAAAGTCGCACGCCCAAGTAATATGTGCAGTCATTACACATGGTTCCTATTAGCTTCACTATTTTACTATTCTAATGTTAAATAAATACCTTATATTGCAATAATCAATGCAGAAAATGTCAAACTGTATAATACATACTTAGCTAGATAAAGATAACATAAGCAAGGAGAAAATTTCTTATTGCATTTTTACATGACTAACAGGAAATCAATACTTTTACTGTTTTTGCAAATGGTTTAAAAGTTAAAAAACTCTTCTTTTTTCATATCTGACAATAACAGTAGCTATAAACAACTCAAATACATGTTTCCAAATAAAAGAACTGTATGCAGGTATGCACTTACTCTTGTTTGAGGACATCTTTTAGTTGTGACATCTGTTTTCCCTTGATAACAGGACTTGGCTGATTACATTTCCTACTTTGTTTAATCTGTCTTTCCTGATACTCTCTCTTTACCTCCAACTGTAATGTACAAAACTTACATGTATATAAAAATCTGTAAAAGAGAAATGTCTCTAGGCAAAGACAACAAATGTAGAAAGGTGAAAATTGCAGTCTTGGTTTCATTGAGTATAATAATGGGAGATAATGAAAGGTGAAACATCTCTGTCTCAACCTGTCCTACACTCCACCATTACCTTGTTACCATTTAAACAAATACCCTTCTGCTAGATTTTCGTTTGTTTGATTTTATGGCACACAAACACAATTTCGGTCACAATTATGGCATCGAAACAAGAAAGATGATTTTGGCTAACCTCCGGTGATACAAACTTTAAGCAATACCAGGCCTCAAAACCACCTCATCTGCTGAAGCTAAGAGATGCATAGACTCAAGTAATTCTAACCCATTTGATTGCCACATACTATTACGCAGGGTTAAACGGTGGCTGCAATTCTAATGTCTCAACCCTTCAAGGCAACCCCTCAGCCACAAGAGGAAGCTAGATTTTGTGGTCACTTATGGTAACTGGTGTATGATTCTTATATTCCACATGTAAACCCTGCATTATTGAATATCTATCCTTACTTATTCCTGAAGAAATGGAAAGTTTGAATCGATATATCAATACCTTAAAGAGATGAGGGAAACATGGTGTCACATATGTTAATAAGTTACCTGTTTTAAACTACGTTGATATGTTTCTAATCTATCCTCTATATTTTCCAGTTCTCTCTTCATTGATCTCTCAGCTTCTGATAAAAATGGTATTCTGGCCTGCAGTTTACGCATTACATTCTCTATCCTAGAAATATAAAATGTACCATTTGTAATGAATGTACTGAAGATGAATATCATTTTATACGAGATTATTTTTGTACATAAATATTTTAAGAGCAATACTGAAAATTATTAAACTGCCATGCCACCACTTAAGTTTGGCAAGACTACATGCATAAATGCAGGGTTGGCCTGGCTATTTACTATAGTCATAGGAGTCATTATTAACCCTTGAAGTTAAAAACTTAAAACCATGGATATAGCACAATTAAAGACTATATATAAGAACAAGTAAAAAGAATTACCTGGTCAGTATTTCCTCTGATTTCTCCTTGCACTCCTCACAGCTTACAGCTAATTGTTCAGCATTATTAGAGAGTATGTTACGTGATTCTTGTAGTTCCTGTATATCATCCTCTTGTTGAGATCTCTGTACCTTGTACATATCAACTCTATAAATATACACACACATATAAGTTGATATAATAAACATTTTCCCAATATGTTATGTCAGAACTATATACATATTCTAATTTTCTGACTCTAAATTCTGAAGAATTCTGCATGGATGTTTATAAAAGAGGAGAACAAGGTCTATTAAGTATTAACCTAAAATTCCAATGTAAGTTTTCCCGGATAATTTGACTGAAGACAATATAAACCATAGACCCATACATTTGATGTCAATACACAGGTAATTACTGGCAGATATAATGTATACCACCAGAACAGGATGCAAGATAGTTAACCAGTCAAAAATGAACCACTCCTCCAAAACCTATCCCCCAACCTGAGGGCCCACATGGAAGATCTGGAAACCGAATGTGTCAACCTCGTTAAATAAACGCTTTACTTACTTACTTACTTAAACCCTCAACAACAATTTAGATAATTTTAACTTTTATTTTTAAATAACCTGTCATATACAGGATAATATCAATCAATAGTAAACACAGTAAATTACCTCCTCTCTATTTCTTGTCTAGCCAAGTCTTGTTTCTGTATATACTCTTCTCTAAACACTTGTGTTGCCCGGCTGAGAAGCTGAAAACATTCCTGCTGGCTCATCTGTGTGTTTGATCCAGATCTAAAACCATCAATATTTGAGCCGCGCCATGACAAAATCAACATAAAGGGTTTGCAAACAGCATAGATCCAGACCAGCCTGCGCAACCGTGCAGCCTGATCAGGATCCATGCTGTTCGCTATCAGTTTCTCTACTTGTTATAGGGTTTGTAAGCGAACAGCATGGATCCTGATCAGACTGTGCGGATGTGCAGGCTGGTCTGGACCCATGCTGGTCGCAAACCCATTATGTTGGTTTTGTCATATTGTGGATCATTTCATTAATTAACTAAACAATACATTGATATGTGCATACTTATTAACAGTATAAAGAATTTTAAAGCCAGGCCTGTGCCACCAGGAGAGAGCTTAGACAGCCTCAATTGTGGAACATTTGACACACTCTTTTAATGTTCCTAGCTAATTTGGCCTTAAAATAAAATACCTAAATAACAATGAACAGTTATTTATTGGGACAAGAAATGTTCATAGAAAAAAGTGTGTACATGGATTATAAACTATTTTTAATCGAGTTATATACATGTAATAACGTTTATTTTTGACCCTCAGGCCTTGATATCAATGAAATTATCAATGGACAGTTAAAAATTGAAGGCAAGTAATGTTTGAGAAATAGAGTGAATAGATTCAATGATAAATACTGGTATAACAATTTTTATTCATAAAGTCAGTTTGTGATTTCTTTGTAGAGACTTGTTACATCAAGTTGCCCTTGCTGCCCAAGGAGTCAAAATCTCTGTAACAACATATTATAACAAACATCTTATAAACTTACTTAAGTAGTGGATTTGAAGTTTTCTTTTGGAGTATTTTTCTGATTCTTTCATCAAATGGTTCCCTAGAAATTTTTCTAAGGGGCGATGGAATGGCCTGACCTCGAGAAGTTGACTGTAAACCTGAGTCAGCAGTTATATACCTCATGTCACTATAACCAGACAGAAAACTAAATAATCAAGCTTCATTTCTTAAACATAATAGTGTGAATAGACAATAAAAAGCTCAAATATTGCTAATAAAAACAATGATAAGAAAACCTTCATTATTTTATTTCTCCAAGAATCAAAAAACCTAATACAACAAAATTAATTAATTGTTTTAAACAACAGCTGTCCGTTACTGCGCTTGACTATCATCATTGCTTGACAGTAAGAAAAGGGGTAAAAACTTAAACAAAGTGTGACAGTGAGGCTGACATCAGGGTGAGTACAATAACTCACTATTCCTTGAATAGTGGAGCTAAAAATGTTTTGCTTAAAATTAAGTACATGTATCTGTAAACAAAACAAATCATGTAATAATCAAAATATCATTTAAAATGAAGATATCAAGAAGAAATTCTTGCTGAAAAATCTGAAGTAACTTATTTTATGTTTATTTGCTATGTAAGACAATATACAGTAATTAAAATGATCTTACCCTAATCGTAAACATTGAAAATCATAGTCACTGGTAAGTGCTATCAATATAGTTCCTATAGTAGTATCCTTCACTTGTGACAGTCCTAACACAGGGGATGGGGGACTGAAAAAATATTATACATAGGAATATTTTTTACTACCTAATGGTCAGTTACCTCCCTTTGTTGCAGATCACACTACGCATGTTTCATTGGTGAAATAAATTTATGTGTCTCATGCTATAATAAGTAGAACCACCAAATTTCCAAAAGCTGGATCGCTTCCTCATGAAAGAAGCTATGCCTGTTCCGTAGCAGAGAATAAATTAAATCACTGGCTTAATCCAAACAAACCATATAGTTTGCTGCTAAAAGACATATTTATCATTAACAGTTTTTATTTATGTAACAAACTTTGTCTTTTTTTTAAATCTAAACTCAGGAAAATATTTTTGCAAAATATTCTACACTTCTTCAGTTTTGTAATGATTCTATCTTATTTGTTTTTAGCTTGGGAAAATTTACATACATTATTTTAATTTTATCAGTGAAGTAATTATCTGGATGTATGATCACTTAAAATGGATTACAAGGTAAAGATAGAGCTAATTACCTGTTTGGAAGAGGTTTGGTACAGATAAGATGTTCCACTATAGATTGTTGATGTGAAGGTAACATATCCTCATCCTCTTCTATAATGGTAAAACAATTCATTCTTTACAAATATACCAATAACTGGCTTTTATATATAACAATAACAATTTCAACAGACACCATTTCAAATTTGTATCAAAAAAGATGTAAGTGCATCTGGAAATAGTCAATTTTGTGTGGGATTCAAATTCAAGACCACTGCCTGATGAGCAAATAAGAGTAACACTCTACTGAGCCAAAGAAATTTTATATCATATGTAACTGAGGTAGGTGTCCACTCATACAGACCAATATTAAGCAATTCAAAAATGTAGTTAAATTGTAAAGCAATTCAAACAAGTTATAAATTTCCATATCAATGTCCAAGATCACAAGGAAATTTCTCCTCACAAGGATCAAACAAGCAACACCCTGGATTACAAACCCAATGCTCTCCCTATTGAGCTAAATAGACGGACACAAGGCCTTAATTTGTAAGGTCTCATCCAAAGACCATTAGTAAAGTCAGTGGAGGAGTGGGGGATCAAACATGTCACACTTGAAATATTAGTCCAGCACGTTAGCACTTGACTATAGATCCACTCTGTTTTTATGTTATGTTAACAGATAATATTGTTTTACCATTTAAACAGACAAACCGACTATAGGAATGTTATAATAGTCTAAATGTTATACTGTTTAAACAAATACAAAAAATAAGAATACTATAGTGTCTATGTAGAGAAAAACCAGGTTTACCATCTAGGCAGAATCTTTGAAGGTTATTGACCCAAGGCAGTACAACAGTATGTACACCAGCAGCATGCACACAGTGGTATTTATCAGGACTTGATATATCTGCAAAAACAAAAAATAAAGCAAATATAATGTTTTTTTTTTATCTCTACAATAGGGAATAAACTAACCTATAAAAGAATGCTACTTTGACATAGGCATAAGGAATAAACTGACCTATATTAGCATACCAATTTGACCTAGGCATAGGATATTAACTAACCTAAATTTAAATGCTAATTTGACCTAAAAGTTAATTTGACGAAGCCATAAACTGACCTATATTAGAATACTAATTTGACCTATGCATAGGACATAAAGTGACCTTTATTAGAATGCTTATTTGACCTAGGTTTAAGCTATGAACTGATTTATATTAAAATATTAATATGTCCAAAATAAATCCATAAACTGACATGTTTAAATATCTGGCTAGCCCGACTGACTACTGTTTGAATGTTGGACAGACATATATCTAAATATTAACTGAAGTTGATAAACAGGACTCTTATTAATTTCCCTAGCAAGAATTCTTTACCTCAAATTTTCAAAATTAGGTTTTATTCTATAAGCTAAATGAATATAACAACAAAGAACAAAAGATAATAATATTTCATCATATTAACAGATGTTCAAAGTTTAGACTGACCTGATGTCGGACCCCAGAGAAATAATTACATATGATACAGATACGCAGTGGATGTGTGAACGTAAAGTTAGCATGTTTATAATGCAGTATAACATGATTTATACACGACAACACAGATGTTTCAACCTAACAATGATAAACCTGTCAGTAAAACAATTAACTCCGTGTTTAATGATTTAAATTAAATTTAAAGTGGAGCACTAGCTACCTGTCACAACCAGTCATTTAACTGTCATATTGTAAGGTGAAAGTTAAAATGAAAAACTTCAGTATAATGACAATATACAATATACTTAGTGCACCCTCATCTACGATGCATGAAAATGATTTTAACGTCTCTATCAGTTTTTGCTTATATTTAAAAGGAAAATCATCGGACGACAAGAATTTATTTGTCTAAATTAGTTTGTATATAGCTCATTATGACAAATGTGAAACATTTGAAGCCATTTCATTCCTAGTGGAGTCCACTTTCATGACGGTATAAATAAGGAGAATGTTACCCCTGTTTAATGTCCAAGCACTGGGGCAATTACAGGTTCCATGTTAATTTTCTAAGAATACTATTACTAGGAAACAATCTTACTCTTTCAAAATCTACTGTAAGTGAATTCTCTATCAATCACCCTTAATCTCAAAAGTGAGAGACCTTTGCCACAAGTGTACAGCCAGGCAACCCAGTACATCCATGCAGTATGACCACACTCTACCATGTTGGGAGCTCCAATTTTTTTAATTTTTGTAGTGACTTAAATTTCAAATGTACTGTTCCAAATCCAAAGCTAGATAAATCCCTTATACAAATTCAGCAGGTATGGGGTTAAAGAAATTCTGTCTGCTAACAAATCATGTCAAAGGATATACATATAAAGAACTAACCAAACTGGATAATCAAATGAAATATTGTACATAGTCAAATAGACAGTATAATAGAGTTTAGGCAGCAATAAAAGCTATTTGATACCATTCAGTGAAACATATATAAACCAAAGTTAAATATAAATTGTAATAATCTTTTTGTCTGAAATTGTATTTTATGCAGATTTATCATTGTCAAGAGTGAAATATTAAATGTATATGAACTAGAGGACATTTACTTTACATCTATGGAGATACGCATTGTATGTTTTTCAGTGGACTGTGAAATAATATGCTGATAATTTCACAGTGAAATAATGCAATATAAATTTCACAGCCGCCAGACTATATCTGAACATGGATGAAAAAAATATATCTTAAATAAGTGGAAATATCTTCATGAGTAAAATGTGCTTGATTACGAGAAGCATATAAATATCTACATCAATCATTTTAAAAAATGCAACTTTATTTATAAAATTTTACAGAATTATTTTACAACAAGAACAATGTGATATCATGATTTGATAAGGTAATGAATGAGAGTGCATATTGTAACTCGGCAAAACTCAAATAAGAATGACTTAAAACCCATAAAAAGCATGAAATAAAGAGAAAATTTGTTTGTTTCGTATATAAGATCAAATTATATTTCACTTGTGAACACAAGCTCTTATATTTTTTCACTCCTGGCTATGGCACTCGTGAAAATATTATATCTGGTGTAAACTCAGTGAAATATATTTTGATCTTACATGCAAAACAAACAAATATCCTTTATTCAACAGGCGTACATACTGGTTGGAGACCACCAAAACCGGACAACCATGAAACCCGGACGGCACCAAAAATGCTTAACTTAGTGTTTTTTCTTTGTTCAGTGGTTTTCAATCTATCAGTCTCTTTATTATCAACATGCATGTTTCTTCTATGATTAATAAAATTTATTTCAACTTCCGTAAACGGTAATATTTTATTGTCTATACGCTGAAAATTGGGGTATCAGGAGTGCAATACCTGACCTCATATACCACCTATAATCATTTGCAGAGTTAACAAAAGAATATCCAAAACTTCAGCATTTGCTGATGATATATTTTTCATCATGTTAAAAATAAAAAATTAAAACACCCAAGCTTTTATCTGAATTAAATCACGGCAAGTACAAATCCGTCCGGACACATGGTACTGTAGAGTGGACAATTAAGGTAATTTTGATACCATCCTTCATAGGCCTCAGATTTAAGTGTCAATATAATCAGAAATAAACAAATTAGTTTGAAAGTGAGGAGAAGAACCTAGCTGTACTGTGTCAAATTTTCAGGTCTCTAGATTTGAAATTATGAAATCTGTAAAGAAAAATGTTCAAAAAGTGTCCGGTTGATGGTCCCTGACCAGTACCGTAAATGAAAATTTTGCTCATACAGGATATAAGAAAATTTAGTTTTATTATCTTTTTATTATTTTTTTTTTAATAGCACTTAGTGTGACAGCTAACTATATTATTACATATAGGCTTATATTTAGATGTAAACTTCAATTTTCTGCTATGTAAAGTTTAGGATAATGGTTTCAGCATCATTATGGAAAGAAGTAATAAATATCTACATTTGGCAATAGTCAAATACACTATTACATATCAAATAGATGAGGCACATGTTAAATATGATAAAAAAATACATCATCAAAGTAAAATATTTTTTAAGTGTTTACTTTTTACATATCTGTAGCACATAAATAAATTATCAGCAAAGTTAGTGTCAGGTTTCTTTTGTTGTAAAGATGTAACGCGTGTATTACATGTATATTGTTGTCATGTGACGTGTAAACATGTGATATGTTTTGACAATCGTGACCTTAAACGATCTCTCGGCGATCTGCGGGTGATAAAACATTTATTTATGTCATGACGGCGAGGTCAAAGGTCGATTTGGTTTCGGTAAACGACAATAACTATTGTTTATATTTTTTACATTCATTTGGTTGAATGAGTTTACGATAGGTATAATAAGATAATTAATGAAACCGCTAAACAGTATCGGACGTAATTAATTAACGTTGTCTAGTAAATATGTAAAGGATGGGGAGAAAATTAATATCCTATCACTTTTTATTTGTTGTGGAAATTGTCAGATTACCTGTGAGGTAAAAAAAAATATGTTTGTGAATTTCATTGAAATCTAATACTTTAACAAACTGGCTTTTTTTGGGATTTGATTTTTTGGATTTGATTTAAATTATGACAAAATATTTCAAGCAATCAGCCTCAAAAATATTAAATCAAAATTTTTTTCTCTCCAAAGACTGAATCTTAGAAGAAAAAAAATAAATTTTTTTTATTTCTAAATTTTATAGTTTTTCTTGGTATTTAGTGTTATAATACTAAAAAGTTGTAAGGAAGGCAGGTGAATAAGGAAACTGTTAGTAGTGTGATACTAACAACTAGATCTACAATACTTGACTACCTTCATAAAGTTATTAGGGAATCTCTTATTCAACTTACTATTGTCCACCAATTAATGTAACTTAAATAAATCATATTTCACAGAGTAAATTGTATATAATACAGGGTGGGTAGGTGGTTTGATTGGGTTGGGTTTTATTTAAGTTACACAGACACTGCAGAGGTCATAGAACAAAGTAGAACATGATTTTAATTTTACTTGTACTTTGAATACAATCATACACATATTAATCAATGCAATATATTTAAAATATGACTGTTTGGATGCCTATTTGATCATTATTTCAGATAAAGGTGGACATCTGAGTTCAGTAAGCTAGCTGGATAGCTTCCTCACATGGAAAATTCCCAAGTCCCTAAGAGGATTCGAACTCACAGTATTGAGAGGAAAGTGGTTCCAAGTCACCACACAGTCATGGATGCCTCAAGTTTCAATTCCACTTTTATTTACCTTTAATCTGAATTTCTTAAATGGACTAGACCAGCTTTTGTTTTTGGAACAGTCCATTATCAATGTCAGGGATATGATATCAATATGAAAATTTAAAGTTAGCAACCAGTTTAAAGCCTGTTATAAGTTAACTATTCATAAAAGCTAGTTTCAACAAAAAAGAATTACCTTTAATGAGTCTCAAAGGACATGTGAATATATCATCAAGTGACTGGGCTCCCTGTAGTGATGGTGTAGTGAGAGACAGTTCTAGTTCAACACTTTCATTAACATACATTAACTTCTCATCTGGACATCTATATGCACATGGTTCCTGGAAGAGAAACTGGTGAAAGAATCCTCCGACTATGAAATAAAAGTAAATAAACAGGGCTATATGATATATATTTATTATACAGCTAACCTTTAATAAACAGCATGTCAGAATATCAAACTTGGCTCTAATTTCATTTCAAAGCTTTCCTCCAAAAGTACTAAAACTTCTTCAACAATAGGTATTTTCTTATTGTATGGAAATACATAACAACCTAAGACTGATCATTTGAAGAATGCGTTTGGAAATTTCATAATACAAAATATTAAACTGAAGATAAACAAAAGAGAGCAGTGTTCACCAAAGAAACCCCTCAATATTCGTCCATAGAGACATTGAAAGGATGGCAAGTTAAATGAATAACTACATCATTTTCAACAGAACAATTTGACTATTAGGAGCCTTAAAATTATAGTTTTGTCACAAGACATTCATGAACAATCTATACTAAGGCTGTAATCAGATGGTTAATTCTGTAATGATTTATCAACAGTCGAATATAGAGGAAATATCAAATTAAAGAGCAAGTCCTGTGGAAAATACATGCTTATTTTAGTCATCAAATATATAACATATATTACTGTATTAAAATAAAGTGGATTTTCTTGTTAAAATATCTCAATGACCTTTGAAAAACAAAATTTATGGTTCAACCTTGCTAAGAAAAGGGGAAAAGTGATCACTTTTCAGACAAATAAAGAGAGATATTTGCACTAGACAGGGAGCAATGGGTTCTAAATTGCCCCCTTAAAAGCATAAAAAACAATATTGGATTTATGGTCATAATATTTGTAACTATCTCCAAACAATTCAAACCAAAGTACCTTAATTAAAAGAATAATATTTATGAATTTCTGACAGAGCTGATAGTTGACATGCAAAATCATTGCTTAGACTACTTAATGGAATAGCAGAATATTTTGCTTGGGAGTGACACATTTTGTTTTCTTATCAAATTTATGTATTACAAAACAACTATGCTCTCTCTAGAGATGACCAATAAGAACATAAACAAGAGCTGTTAGAATGACAGCATGCTTCCACTATTCTCAGTGTCTGATAGTAAAACAAGTCAGGACTACGTAGAATTTTCTATGTTCAAAAAGTACCATAATTCTATCAAATCCATGTTAGGGCTATGGGCCTTGAACAGTGACTTATTATGCTCCTGAATAGTGTGTGAAGTTTCAACCCATTCCCTTTAGGTGTTGGAGATACCAACTTAAAACACAAGTTAACCAAAGTGTGACAGTGACAATGATGCCTGGGTTCGTCTACCAGCTCTCTGTATCCTTCAAATAGTCAAGGTAAAATCAGTCTCACTTAAAATTTTACTTGTAATATCAGAATTTCACCTGTAATGTCAAAGTTTTATCTGTATACCTGTAATATCAAAGTTTTACCTGTAATGTCAAAGTTTTACCTCTATACCTGTAATATCAAAGTTTTACCTGTAATGTCAAAGTTTTACCTCTATACCTGTAATATCAAAGTTTTACCTGTAATGTCAAAGTTTTACCTCTATACCTGTAATATCAAAGTTTTACCTGTAATGTCAAAGTTTTATCTGTATACCTGTAATATTAAAGTTTTACCTGTAATGTCAAAGATTTACCTGTAAATCAAAATTTTACCTGTAACATCAAAGTTTTACCTGTAATGTCAAAATTTTACCTGTAATATCAAAGTTTTACCTTTAATGTCAAAGTTTTACCTGTAATGTCATTTCACTAAGATCTTTAGGTAAGAGTACACAGTGATGGAGCCTGCCATCACATGTTGTTATGACAACAACAGTGGGTGTGGTCTGTAGACAAAGAATAGAGCATGCATCAGTACCATAGTTATCTTCTGCTGGAGGTTTCATTAACAGTGGACCTTGAACTGGTAACTTCAATGGGCTAAAATAATATACAACAATAAAAGATTGCTTGCTAAAATGAATGAAAAATATTTGAAATATCAAAATAGCGATGTAATAGTGTCCCACAGTTATTAAATATCTGATTCTGCCTAAAAATGTAATAATGATAACATAGGACTTCTTTCATTTTTATATACATGTATGTGGTAAACTAGTATGTTTAAGCTGAAAGTAATGTTCTATATTGTAAAAAAAAATATAAGGACAAAAAGAAATGAGAAATATACACTGCAGCCCATTATAACGCTCATGTTGGGGTCGAAAGTTTCAACACCGCTTATAACGAGGTTCTAATATATACTGCTAATAGCTAATATATAAGGCTTATAACAGCAAATTATACTTTGAAAATTTCATTGTAGAATTATCAAAATATAAATTTACTGTATCTTAACTATATTTATCAGAAAAAGGAATAACACAGCATTAATCACTGACCTATGAGATAAATCTGTGTAAGCTATTATTACATCACCATTGCCCCGTACACAGTATACCGGCCAAACTGTCCTTGTGTCCATCTTGCTTGCCCTATATGAACCTGACTTTTTTTCTACAACCTCTGAAGGCCCAAAGTCAAAGCTCATGACACAGTCACCAAGTGCTCCACTGATAGGTGAGGGGTGAGATAATGATAAACTGTATGATACCTCACTGTCTCCCAGGAAAACTGTCTGTACAGAACGATCTGGATCCATTATGTCATAAATACTGTAAAATATAACTATTACATAGAACGAAATACACAAAATCACATATGATATTGAAAACAAATTTATTTACATACATACTTAAATGTACAATGTCGTAAGTAGTTAAATATATGATATCATGAATAGTGAAATATTATGATGTCATAAATAAATAAATATATGTTGTCATAGTGAATATGCATGTTCAATGTGTCAATGTCATAGTGAAATAATTGTCATAAAAAGTGAAATATATGATGTCATAAATAGTGAAATATATGATGTTATAAATAGTGAAATATTTGATGCAATAATTAGTGAAATATATGATGGCATGTAAATAGTGAAATATACAAGAGCGATCAGTGATCACATGTGTCGCCTCATGATGGCCAATTTCATGTTGGGACAAGTTTTGTGACAGATGGACAGACAGATGGACAGTGCACAACTAGACTTGGTACTGATTATTCCTGTAAAATTTGGATAAAATTGCACCAGTAGTTTATGAGGACTGGAGTAGTCCGGACAAGCTTTTGTGTATCTGGCAACACACAGAAAAAAAAACCTTTTTATCAAAGGGCCATAACTCTGCTAAAAATCATTCAACCGGAAAACCCTTGCAATGTGTGCAAGGACTTGAGCTACAGATCAATCCTGTAAAGTTTCATTGAAATTGCATTAGTGGTATAAGAGAAGTAGTCCGGACAAACTTTAAAAATAAAAATTATTAAAGGGCCATAACTCTGACAAAAATCATTTAACCGGAAAATGCTGACAATATGCACAACTAGACTTGGTACTGTTCATTCCTGTAAAGTTTGGATGAAATTGCACCAGTAGTTTATGAGGAGTAGTCCGGACAAGATTTTGTGTATCTGGCAACACACAGAAAAAACACCTTTTTATCAAAGGGCCATAACTCGGCCAAAAATCATTCAACCGGAAAACCCGTGCAATATGCGCAAGGACTTGAGCTACAAATCAATTCTGTAAAGTTTCACTGAAATTGCATCAGTGGTATAAGAGAAGTAGTCTGGACAAACTTTAAAATTAAAATTATTAAAGGGCCATAACTCTGACAAAAATCACTGAACCGGAAAATGCTGACAATATGCACAACTAGTCTCGGTACTGATCATTCCTGTAAAGTTTGGATGAAATTGCACTAGTAGTTTATGAGATGTAGTCCGGACAATTTTTGTGACAGACGGATAGACAGACAGACAGACAGACGGATGGACAGACAGACGACGGAGAAGTGATCACTACTCCGTAGAGGCGACACAACAATATTATAAATAGTGAAATAATGTACATAAAATGTCTTGAACACTGAAATATTACATACTATATGCAGTGTCATTTTCTTTGGTTTGGTTTTATGCCACACCATCACTGTAAAGGTCATATGGCATTGACTTTCCAGTTTTACTAGTGGAGGAAGACCTCAATGGCCCCTTTGCGCATTATTTCAGACACAAAGTGCAACCTGAGTAGAACCATTCATTCTGTAAGCTACCTGGATAGCTTCTTCACATTAAAAATTCTAACTTAGTCAAGGACGCAATGTCTTAAAAAGTGAAATGTCCGGTGTCATTAATTTTAGAATTTTATTAAAGTACAAGGTCATAAACAATAAAATATACAATATCATAAACACCACAAATACTGTAAAATACAGAATCATAGAAAGACATGAAAACTGAAATATATAGAATTGTAAACATTGAAAACATATAATGTCATAAATTCTAGCATCAATAATGTACTCGTTAAAAATGTGGTTAAAAATGTCACAAATTCTGGTAAAAATAATGTCATAAATACTATTATTACCACCAATATAAACACTGGTAGTGTCATTAATGCTAATATGTATTAATGCTAATATATGATGACTTTTACCTCACTAGATTATCTGATGTGAGCAGGACAACATGAGTGTCAGTCGTACTGCCTGGATGCCATGATACCTGCAGGAGTCGTACATTCTGATGAGTGGAGAAATAATATTCTCCTATTGTCACATTCCTGGAATAAATTATTATTAACATTGTGTTAACCTAATGCTTCATTCACATCATCATATCAAACATTACACATATGCTTGTTAAAGTGAGGAGTCCAAGTGTTTACAGATTCTGTTTCTCAACCATTGGATACTGAGCTGAAGAGAAAACCTTTTACAGTTCCTGATAAAATGGATCTTAAAGAAAAGGTTAAGCAACGTTGATGCTGACCAGAAGGTCATGATGATAGCTCTTTTTTTTTCAAACTGTTATGTTTTGATAATTATCTTATCTTCTTCTTCGTTAATGTATAGGTACACATTCCAAATTTTAAAAGATATTAAGCCTAAACTATGATGGAAAACTTTAATGTTTTGTTATTTCGAATAAAAATAAAATCTGACTTGACTTGGAATCTGCCTGGAAATTCAATGCCTTGACCAATAATTAACTGGTCTTTGACTTCATAAATCTCACAACTTAATATCTTTTTTTATGACAATACTTACTTGCATGCAACATTATCTTTACCACCAAGGAACTCGGCAAACTTTCCACATTTCTGTGGCAGCTCTATGACTGTGACACCAAGTTGACCCCATAGAGCTAGATGTGTTTTTGTAATGTTCCAAACCAACCAATCCACAGTAAATCTTGGACTGTCAGTACACAGAAGAACCTAGCAAAAAATATCTGTATATTTGTATATAATCTACAAATTATTTATTTCTTTATAATGATTAAGGTTAAACATAACAAGCTGCAAATTTAGTTTATAACATTTACAATATTTGTGACCTTTTCAACAAAATCACAGGTTTTCTTTTCACAATATCCTGTCCTAATCATTACCTGTTATAATAAAATTTATCAATTCTAATCACAGGAACTTGAAATTCTACCAAATAACTAATATTAACGATAATATCAAAAAAATACCCCCTATATAGTATAAATAAGTTGTTTTGCTGATTTTTTTTAGTTTAATTATGTTGGGATGGGGAAAGGGCATTTCATTCCTTGTTTATTCATAAGGGGAAGTCAAAGGCCGGGACCACTGAAGCTGGCCAAAGCCTCTTGCTGGTCTATAGACTAAACATGTATATTAACAAGAGCGATCAATGATCACATGTGTGGCCTCATGATGGCTAATTTCATGTTGGGACAAGTTTTGTGACAGACGGACAGTGCACAACTAGACTTGGTACTGATTATTCCTGTAAAGTTTGGATGAAATTGCACCAGTAGTTTATGAGGAGTAGTCCGGACAAGCTTTTGTGTATCTGGCAACACACAGAAAAAAACCACCTTTTATCAAAGGGCCATAACTCGGCCAAAAAATCATTCAACCGGAAGATCCGTGCAATATGGGCAAGGACTAGAGCTACAGATCAATCCTGTAAAGTTTCATTGAAATTGCATTAGTGGTATAAGATAAATAGTCCGGACAAACTTTAAAAATAAAAATTATTAAAGGGCCATAACTCTGACAAAAATAAGTGAACTGGGAAATGCTGACAATATGCACAACTAGACTAGGTATTGATCACTCCTGTAAAGTTAGGATAAATTCTCACTAGTAATTTCTGAGGAATAGTCCAGACAAGTTTTGTGACTGACAGACAGACGCACGTTCTCACAGGACAGTAATTATGTGGCTACTCTATTGTTCTCTCTATTGTTCTTTTTAGCCACACAAAAGAAAATAGCCACATAAAAGCATTACGGAATGAATGACATCAAAGATAAAGAACAGTTGTCCCTCTAGCCACATAATTACTTTCCTGTGAGTGCCGACAGACAGACGGACAGACAGACGACGGAGAAGTGATCCCTATATGTTGCATCTACTCCGTAGAGGTGACACAAAAAGGAAATCAAATAAAATAAATCAAAGAATATATAAAATTCTATACCTATCAATGAAATTTTCAGTGTAGGTTCTAGTGACAAAGTCAGCCGCCGCCATTTTCAATGTAAATTATAATAGGAGGGATATTGATATTCCGATAACGAACAATCGCAAATTTGCGATTAATAATAATCATTGGGTATTCAGAATGAAAACTGAAGCGGTAAATAAAATACCGAATGACACCTTTAAAATGGAAAAAAATGAACTTCATTTTAAGCGACTTCCCTGTTCATACGGGGCTTTGGCTTGCCCGGCTATAGACTTAAAAAGAAAAACATATATAGAATTCTATAGCTATCAGCGAAATTTTCAGTATCATTTCTTGTTGGCGCCGTAACGCAATGATAAACAGTGGAGTATTCCGATAATGGCCAATGTTGAAAACGGATGCGCAGACTGGTTCCCTGGTTACTTCTATTCAGACCATAATAGGACAGGGAACCAGAATATACAGAAGCAGTGCATAATATATTGAATTCTGCTCGAATGGCATTTTTAAAATGGAAAATATAAAATAAAAAAGAACAATTATTTTAACAGACTTCACCGTTTAGGCTTTGCCTAATTTTATATTACTATAAAGGTTTTTTTTGGATATTATCGTTAATGTTGGTTATTTGTTCTAATTGACATAAGCACTGACAATTGCCAGTAAAAGCTACATGACGCCTGCAGGACAGGGCGGACCGTGAGACAGGGCGGACCGTGACTAGAGGGACCATATTTTGGGACAGGACGGACAGTGACTCGAGACGAGGCGGACCGTGATTTAAAAAAGTATTTATATGTGGATTGATGTAGCAAAAGTATTAAATTATTGTTGTTTTTGTTCTTGGTATTAATATTTCAATGCAAATATAAAAGTAAGTTTTAAAAGTTTATGTGTAATTGTATATTAATTTGCTGAATGGACGATGCAATTAAGACAAAACACGAAACACTTATGATATAAACTAGTTTACAGTAGTAATATAAAAATAAGAATGATAATTAAGTGTCAATTCTGGTGAAAGAATCCAAACTTAGAAGAATTCAACGAAAGTCCACAAGAACCATACAATCTAAATTAATGGAGCTATGGACAGAATATTCCAATAAGACAGTTTTAGCAAAGAAATGTCTAGACAGTTGTGCCAGACTTTACGGTCCTGTATAAGGAAAAAAGTGCTGTGCTTGTATATAAATATATATAGATACATTGTATATGAATGTTCAATGTACGTGAATATATTTGATGTTTTGAATTGTTACATGTTCATCATTTCGTTTCCGTATATCTGTATCTTATATCATGTCATGTCATTTTATCTTGTATTGGTATTGTAAATAATGTGTCTCTTCTCGTCTGTGATGTTAAATGTGTCTATAAACTCGCCATTCCTCATCATTGTGTGTATTGTGATACAAACTATAAGGCTTTGATGTGTCTTATTGTTTAATAAATTCTATTTCAGTGTTCTTTCTATTTCATGTGTCTGTGCTTATTATGTAAATTTTAATATAATAGTTTTGTTCTTTAAATATGTCACTTCATTTTTTGTTATTGTGTTGTATTGCAAATAATTTTAATGTGATGTAATTCGTTATCATTGTTATTTCGTGCATTGTACAACAAAATATGTGTTTTTTATGTGTCTTATTGTGTAATAAAGTTTATCAATTTTAGCACCGTTAGCGTCTTATACAAACAATGACATTGTACTATCCCGATAATTGGTCAATTAACACCTGCGTAAGTCGACGCAGTTACAAATAATTTCTTTTTTGAAAAAAAAAAAGTTTTAAACTACTCTAATATATATGTTACATAAATATTATAAAGAAAACCAAAATCATCCACAATTAAATACTTTTTCTTAAATCGCGGTCCGTCTCGTCTCGAGTAACATAGTCAATTCAGCAAATTAATATACAATTACACATTAAACTTTTAAAACTTACTTTTATATTTGCATTATATTTGCATTGAAATATTAATACCAAGAACAAAAACAACAATAATTTAATACTTTTGCTACATTAATCCACATATAAAATCCACAAAAATTACGGTCCGCCTCGTCTCGAGTGACGGTCCGCCCTGTCCCAAAATATGGTCCGCCTAGTCTCGAGTCACGGTCCGCCCTGGTACAGTCCGCCCTGTCTCGCGGTCCGCCCTGTCCGTAATTCCTACATGACAAATACACATGTAATGAAAGCTCTGCTTCTTATTTCTCTGTATGCTATTAACTGTTAGAAAAAAATTTAACATCTATAATTTCGGTAATTCTTCTTTTATTGTCACAATTCTTAATGTTTATTTTCGCCGTTCCTGGACGGCGATATATAAAATCTTACTCATGGGCAATACTGAGTATCTAACCCAGCAGAATCTAATTGAGCGCGTCATATAATCACTGATAATAAAGTTTTTTTTTGTTGGCTTTATGTGTTGACCACATACAATAAAGTATTAGGCAAGAATGAAATATTAGCGAGCTCGACAAGCTGGCCCGAAGGGCCTGCTCGCAAAGCAAGCTTTACGGTAACGCGACTACCTGCTAAGTGATGGTTTTGAAAACTTTTGTCCAAAGTACCAAATTGGACACATCGCAACCTTTCGAATTTAAAGATAACGATAAAAACTGAGGAATTCTGACTGAAAACGGATGTGTAGACTGGTCACCCGCGCACGTCTATGGGAACCATAATTGGACAGGGAACCAGAATAGCGGAAGCTGTGTATACAAAATGAAAATCGAAGGCGCCATTTTGTTTGAAATCTGATAAATAAAAACAATTTTTTGTCGAATTTTGTTGTGAAAACTATCTAGAATGAAAGAAAATGGTCTAACTAAGAAAATGAATCCGAACCCCAATATCTTTTATTCAGTCGTTAACACTGTACAGACGTTTAAAGTATTGTTCACGTGACGTCACATTGTAGCGCCAAACAGCACATGCAAAACAAACAAATCAAGTACGCTATTTTAATGTCGCAAACGTATTAAGTTTTACATTTATTTCACTTTAAATAATATTTATTTCGCTTGAAAAATTATAGAGTGAAATAAAATAAACAAAGTTTTTTCAACGTTTTCAAAACTCGTTATTCATTTCACGACAGGGGCGGAACCATATTAAACACAGTACGTGTGACGTTACACGCACTCGTTACTGCATTTGAAATAAAAATGAGCGATTATTTCATACTATTTCACGTAAAAAGTACATCGAGCTCGCTTTGAGGCTTTGCCTTTTTCATATTATTTCTATATTCATGGCTGAACGGTGATTCAAAGCATTCTTGGAAATGCTAATACTTGTCAACATTCTACTTTCGCTTTACCTGAAATCGACTCTTTCTCTCTGAAAATTCGTTCAAATTTTGCAAATTGTAGTTGATAAGATGACAGGATGCGTTATCCCATATAAATAAATCATTGTCATTAACAGCAATCAGGCCTTTAGATTCAAGCTGACAATTTTTTTGTGATTCCCTGGCGTTGTTTTCACGAATCTTTTTGCTAAAACTACTTTCATTTAAACTCGTGCGCCATTTGTTAACTTCAGCCATTTTTGTTTTAATCTAAAACACAAAATGTCTCTTTTGTTTTTAAAGAAATTAGGTTAAATTTATTAAAGTTTTAGCACCGAAATTATTTCAAAAAATAATAATTATTTATAATAGAGAGCATAAAAGATATTTTAGATGAATAAAATTGATATTTAAAGATTATTTTTAAGAGAACTGGTCATGTGACCGCTCTGCCAGTAATTCAGTTCAAAATGGCTGCCAGTGTGCAGTCGATGTGTGATTTCTGGAAGAAGTTTGATTTACAAGAGCTACAGGTTTGTTTCTTATCAAAAGTCTGATTGAATAGTATTCAATATATTGTTTTATTTCATTTGATGTGGTTGTCAGTAGAATATATGTTTCAGTATCGGAGAAATCCACTACATAATGTTTTATTGTGAGATTCATGCTTCAGTGAATTAGCATAAAATAAACATCCGGTTTGTCTAGCATACTGGATTAGATGTAGTGCATTTTATCTAGTGCATTTATTGACGAGATATTATTCCTGCTGTTTAAAATGTTAGCAGAGTGCGATTAAATATCTCGTAACTAATTTCATCCCATCATACAAGAAGTCTTTTATTCTTTTATCAATATCTCATAAAGTTCAAGTGGTAGATAACAATTCAGTTGATCGAAGGGAAAACTGTCATATGTTCAATTATTTCTGATAATAGTGATCTAAATCTTGCAACGTAACTGCATGATCACTGATAAAGAGAATAAGGGGCGTGAATATTTGTTATAGGTCCTCTTGAATTCCCAATACAACTGTTAATTCAAATCAACAGAAATATTTGAAAATTGTTTTAGTTGCATCATGTTTTTAAATATTCTTGTGCAAAAAATGTGAAATTATCAATAGAATTAACATCGAGTCAGACTATTTATTTTTTTGCCTAGGATGTTAAGACGGACTCTGTTAAGTCCTATTATTTGCATGAATTGAAAACTGATGGAGTTCCAGTCTTTTTCATGTCTGTATGGGCCAATTAAGTTGCATATAATTTGTTAAAAAATGAAAAAAATATATTTATTGTGTATCGTGAACTTTATGGTACAATGTCTTTTTTTTATTTTGATATTTCTAACAAAAAAGTTCCTAATCTTAATTAAGACTAAATGGTTCAAAATCTGTTGTAAAATGTGCAAGCTATTTTTATCTGCAGATAATGGCAAATGTTTCATACATGCTAGAAAACTAGTTGATCACTTCACATGATTGTAAAGTTCTCTAATTTTAGTAAAATTGCGAATTTTTATACACCTGTTAAAATCGATTAATTCTTGTGAGTGATAAAGTTTTTACTTCAATCAAGTTGACCTCTGGTTATATCAGTTTATCTCGTTGGTCAACGGTTTATTTTTTGGACTTCTGATTGGATTAATTTAAATTTGTGTTATTGAATTTGATAGATTGTTTAACTACCTATATATAGGTTATTTTGCTCTTGCTCGCCATTCTGTTACTTATTTTGTAGTCATGAGCACGTTTCTAGTCTTTTTTGCCCACCCATCCTAGCCCATTTGGTTTAGCAATAAGTTTTATTGCATTTAGTTATATTAGTACTGCGTTTTGGTAAATATTTATAATTTCAATGATTAGTAATTCTTTGTGGATTGATTAATATATCATTCTATAGTTTATTAGTGTTGACCAATTTTGCAGTTATCTAGTGATAATTCGTGATCATTTATTAACCTAATTAAATATTATTATTGACATTTCTGTCTTGGTTTTTCTCTTAAATGAGCAATAATTTAGAAAAAATATAATATATGGTCCAAATATACTAAAGAAATAAAACAACACCCAGAAAATAATCCCATGAATAAGTCTAGCTAACTGTACTCTGGGTGGACTGGCATCCAGTCACTGCCAGTGTCCAGTTTTGTCAGAGCATATTTTCTACATGCATGGAGGGATGTAAGAATAACTTAATATCAATGTTTATCACCATGAGATGTTTGGTTCCAGGCATGAACAAGGTCTCTAGGTCAAATGTTAAAGTAACAGGTCACACATTGGGAACAACTTTCAAGGGAAAAGCTTGTCCAGATTCTTTTCGGTTGTTTTGTTTTTTTTTGGTTTGTGTGGTCTGTTTTTTTTTTTTTTTTTTTTTTTTTTTTTTTTTTTTTTGTTTTTTTTTTTTTTTTTTTTTTTTTTGTTTTTTTTTGTTTTTTTTTTGTTTTTTTTTTTTTTTTTTTGTTTGCTTTTTTTTTTTTTTTTTTTTTTTTTTTTTTTTTTTTTTTTTTTTTTTGTTTTGTTTGTTTTTTTTTTTTTTATTTGTTTTTTTTTTTTTTTTTTTTTTTTTTTTTTTTTTTTTTTTTTTGATTTTTTTTGTTTTTTTTTTTTTTTTTTTTTTTTTTTTTGTTTTTTTTTTTTTTTTTTTTTTTTTGTTTTTTTTTTTTTTTATAACTTCTACATGAATTCTTTATTAGAATAAGTTGGCACAATTGTTCATCATTGTAGCGGGATGTGCCGGGAGCAAAATGTAGATCCTTTGCAAGTTGCGGTCAGGGTCATGGGTCAGATAGTAATATGAACAGGGTTCTCGGGGGACGCTTATTTCGGCGTCCCGGTACGCATGTTTATTACAGCTGGACGCAAATATTTCAGATCAAGGATTCCACGTACGCTTAATTTTGCCTGGGGACGCATAAACATTACCGATTGTTTACAACCAGAAATACACAAATGCGTCAGCGCGTGTCAGTCTATAGGTAGGTGGTCCTATGCAAACATCGACCCGTAAAGCGATTAGCCAATCAGCGATAACGCTTACGATCATTATCACGCAATAGTGATCAGACTAATGTATAAACGCGCTGTACATACAGTACATGTAATTACCAGATATAACACTAGGTGATAATTTTATATCTTTGATCAACAGTTGATTTGGAAATTAGCAAATTTTACCGACAAAAGGATAAAATTATCGACCTATTTACGCCGCAAGTTTAAAGACTGTTTTCTCAAATTACAAATGAATGTAATTTGAATGATTGTCAAATATTTTCGGCATTTTCTAGGCACCCAATTTTGCTTTAGTTTTATTCTTGCAAAAACTTTCGATAAGACTATTAAGAATTTAAGATATTGTGCCGAAATGCCAGGAAAACAAACCAAAATACACATACGCTTTTCTTTGATATTAAAATTCTATCCGAAAATTGATCCCGAACATCGGTGATTTCACGTTCGCCAGAAACCCTAGAATTTCGCAAAAATTCTCGGTTTCCAAGCCATAACATGCGAATGAATTGTTCCTTTATTATTTAATCAACATTAAATCTTTAAATATCGATCTTCAATTTGCCCCCTTTTGAAGATATTTGCTAAAATAATTGTCGATCGGATGAATCTCTTTACACACTGTTTGAAGCTGTACACGATTTTCCTATTCATTCCGCTAAACGCTGCCTATATACATTTACGTTTTTTTTTACAAATATAAACTTTTTGTCTTTAGAGTGGACTTATTTAACCAGAATAAAATTTGATTTGGTATAAAAGTGAAAAAAACAAAAAACAATTTCCATGTGTTGATGCATTATAATGAAATAATTTCATAATAAATATCAACAACAAAACAATAATTATACTATGTAGTTCAGAGTTTCTTTTGAATAACTATAAACTTTGGAAGTCTCTTGAAGATTCAAAATATCAGCAATGCTATTGTGAGCATTGAATGACTTATCTGTAAACATATTAATTGCGACGCGCTTTTGGACTCCAACTTTTTCAGGGTTGGGAGTCCATGGACTCCATGTTTTAAAGTCCTAGTGAGAACCCTGATGAAAATGTTTGTAGTCTTAAGGATTATGTAAAAAATATTCACTGAGTCTGTCCTGCATAATCTAGGTAAATGAATGCAAGGTCAGTGGCATAAGAGATGATGACATGCCCAGATTTTGTCTGGAACATATTTTTTACATTCATGCATGAATTTAGTGTTACTTGATACAAATGTTCACGGTCATGAGACATAGTATTATTATGTATGTAGAAGTTTCACTGTGTGTTTTTTTGGCTGACAATTTATTGCAAGACCATTGCTAACCATTTTTTTCAAGATCAAGCAGTCTACACTTGTCATTACCAAGGCAACCATGCCAGAAACCTCACATCATTCATGTTAGCATATACATTTTATATATGCATTTGAGTGTCCGGATGTCCCTCGGTTTTTCCTTGTCTGCCCAATAACTTAAGATTCCTCTGACCCACAGTCTTCATATTTGGTATTTAGATTGGTCATGATTAGTAGATGATCCCTTTAGATTTTGAGGTCAACAGGTCAAAGGTCACAGGGCCTTGACTTAAAAAAAGCTTGTCCGCCCAGTAACGTAAGAATCCTTTGACCCACAGTCTTCATGTTTGGCATGGAGGAGGTTAGTCAAGATTATTAGATGACCCCTAATGATTTTGAAGTCACTCGGTCAAAGGTCAAGGACAGAAGAGCCCCTTGACTAAAAAAATCTTGTCCGCCCAATAACTTAAGATTCCATTGACCGACAGTCTTCATATTTGGTTTTTAGATTGGTCAGGATAAGTAGATGATCCCTATTGATTTTGAGGTCACCAGGTTAAAGGTCAAGGTCACAGGGGCCTTGACTTCAAAAAGCTTGCCCGCCCAATAACATAATAATCCTTTGACCCACAGTCTTCATATTTGGCATAGAGGTTGATCATGACCATTAAGTGACCCCTATTATTTTTCAAGTCACTGGGCCAAAGGTTTACAGGGGCTTTTAGTTCAGTTTAGTTTAAGAATGCTTTGTTCAACAGTCTTCATATTTGGTATTGAAGTTAGTTATGATTATTAGATGACCCCTATTGATTTTTAGGTGACTGTGTCAAAGGTCAAGGTCACTGGGGCTTTTACTATAATAAACTTGTCTGCTCAAATGCTTAAGAATGCCTGTCCACAGTGTATTGATTTTGACATTTTCATAATTTGAAGCATTTAAAATAAAATATTACGTTAATATTCTACAAGTTAATCCAAATCATTTAGATAAACAAATTCTGTCCTTATTTGAGTTTTTGAAGTTTATTTTCCAATGAACATTTGTTCCTTGTTAATTGAAGCATCTTTCAATATAGATTATAACTTTCCCTCTTAAGATTCAATTGTGACATGTAGTCTATTTTTATGTAAATTTGCATTTCCTTGAACAATTAACATCTAAGGAGGTACCAATTCAGTGAAACAAGACTTCAACAATACTTAACTTATAATGATGGTAAGACACAAATACT